AACTTAAATGTTTCTTGTGTTATTTCTATTTCTGAAAAAGGAGCGGGTTGACCACAACTCAAAATGCGAAATGCCTTTACTTTTACTCTTTCTATCAAAAATGGCTTTATTGTTTTTTAAAATATTCGCCATGATGATCGTTACACATCTGCATTCGCTTGAACCAATTGTCATAGCATTTATGCCATTCCGCGTGAGACACCTCCAAAACGTGTGCTTTGAACGCATCAACTGCTTCTTCGGGCGTTGCAAATCGTTGTCAACGCATTTTCTTTTTCACGCTCGGGAACAAAAAGAAATCGTTGGATGCCAAGTCAGGATTTCTTTTCATCACACGGGCTTCGCTGAACACAGTGATTTGGTGCCACTTCTGATCAATGGATGATCTGTGTCAAAATAATGCGGCATTACCGGAATTATGGATATACAACCCTAAATATAATTATTAAATGAATTGTTTGAACTATTGTTATTATTAATGTCAGTTTTATTCTAGAAAATATTATTCAGTATTCAATTTTTATTATAATAAACGAATAAAAATGTAACTTAATTTTTTCTTGAAAATGCCAAGAAAGAAAAAGGTTTTACAACTACTCTATCGCATATATATGTTTTTTTAAATATAAAACGACAATCCACCACACATAAAGAAGCAGTTTAATTCACCACCACCATATGTCATTCAATGTTTATTGTGTAGTTTGCGGCATTGACAATTCGATTCCACGGTCGCATGTGTCAGAAGAAAGATGATGAAAACAATCAACTAATTTTATTCTCGTCAAACTCAAATTTTATTTGTTTCAAAAAAAAATGTTAAATTTAAGTTATTCATTGTTGATAAATTGCGCAATATCTGTGTGCGCATTTTTTTTAACAAAACGTTTGATACCGAGCCTACGCGATATGTTCATAGCGGCCAATTTATTTGGCAATGACTTGTGCAAGAGCGATAAACCGAAAATGTGTGTGCGATTACATCGTATATTTCCGTTGATCTTATAAGTACAATTAAATCAATCAGTGACATTTCCATTTTATCTTCTCTCATTCACTGCAGCCCGGAGGCGATGGGTGTTGTGACCGGTTGCGTATTTCTGATAGCTCTCTTCTTATTCATACCAGTGCCATTTGTGTTCAGCGAAAAGCAAATCAATGAATTTTCACATAATCAGGTATGACTCACAATGACTTTGTTACTCATTCCTCATCCGATATCATTTTCTACAAAATCCATTTAATTTTTTCAGTTGGTCGAACTGATATCGGCACTGTTGTCGATTTGTTGCATGATTCTATTAGGATTTGCGGACGATGTTTTAAATTTGCGATGGCGTCACAAATTATTACTTCCAACAATTGCATCGTTGCCATTGCTCATGGTGTACTATGTAAATTTCAATCGAACAACAATTATTTTACCGATTTTTGTGCGAAATATTCTCGGGTCATCGATTGACATCGGTATGATGATTTGATGCAAACAAATGTATCAGCCGACACCATTTTAGACTAAATATGAACTTTGGATTTGTTTTGATTGACAGGCATTCTATACTACTTCTATATGGGCATGTTGGCCGTATTTTGTACCAATGCAATTAACATTTTGGCTGGAATAAATGGTTTGGAAGCGGGACAATCGCTGATTATTGCCGCATCGATCATCGTATTCAATATCATTGAAATGACACAAGATTCAAACACGCGCATGGAGCATGCATTTTCATTACACATCATTGTGCCATATTTTGCAACGTCGGTCGCTCTTTGGATGTACAATAAGTGAGTAAAATCATTTTTTATGATGAAAAAAAAAAAACGATTTTCATATTTGTTTTACATTGTGATTGCGTGTACGGTTGCTAGTGGTAGATTTAGATAGATAAACATAGTAGAGAAATTCACCTCGATACTGTCAAAACGTTTAAAATGTCAAGCGCTTTATGTACAAGTCGCAGGAGAAGAGTATACAAGAATAGAATGGATTAATTCTTTAGAGAAAATTCAGTGGGCGATGGCATAAACATAACAATTTTTAAGAGTTTAGCATTTAATAAAAGTGAAAGTTTTTCTCATACTCAACAAAAATGTTTGAAATGAATTTCAAAGGGTCTATTCGATAGAAGAAAAGACACAAAAATCAAGAACAATATACTTACCATGTAAAGACTGAGAAAAAAAGAAGGAAAAAAAAAACATTTTTTTTTTGGGTGTGATACTGTGTGAGAAAATTAGTCAAAATGCATTTTCAATGTTGGAAATCGACACGACGACGGGATAAATTGCTGATTTTATGGACACTGTTCTCAATTCAATTGTTGTTAATCGGATTTGTGTTGTTTGGAAATAATTCGAATAATCTGTCTGATGACATTGACGATGACTCATCATTGCAAGCATATCGATCGAATAATTTGGCCAATCCAAAAATACAGCGCATAGTGAAATTTCTGAAAAGTGACATATCATTGCCAAATGCGGTGTCTACATCGGCATCAGCATCATCAATAGCCAATAATAACCATAAAATCGTGCTTCCACCGCTCCAAACATTTTGCGATGCATTTTTCGAATGTCACACTGGCAAACCGGCCAATTTTACATTGGATTCATTGTTTTGCTTTCGAAATAGTAGCGTCTTACCGATATCGGCCACCCTGCGCCAAATGAGCGACGCATTCGACGACGACGACGAAGATTGTGTGTGTAAATGTCAAGCAGATTTTCATGGTCGTGATTGCAGTCAACCCGAAGTTGTGTGGCGTGCATTTATGACATCGCACATTACCAAGAAATACGAAAAAAAAATTGCAAATTTTATCGAGCATGAAGAAAATGAACCGAAACCACGTCGAATTTTCTATCACATTGATTCGTCAGCGCTAAGTTTGACAACGATTGAAATTCAGGTCAAAGAATTACACGATTTAATCGATTTATTTATATTCTGCGATGAAATTCGAAATGCAAACAATGCTGAACATGGTGTTGCATCAAAAATGGATCGTTTTCGATATCATCAACAATCCAACGAACATGGAACGAATTTCTTTTTGAAAAAACTCAAATCAAAAATTCTAATTGTAGAAACAAAACATAAATGCACACCGAAAACAACATATAAAATGTTTCGCAATCAAATCGATTCATTACAAGGCGATGAAATCTATTTGTATAGTTCATATGATGAAATATTGAATCGGAATGCCATACAGTATGCCAAATGGAATAGCGATTGGTCACAATCGCAGCCACTTCGATTTCGTTTGAAATACACCGTATACGGTTTTTATTGGCAGCATCCGGTGCAAACGGTTCTCGGCAGTGCTGCATGTCAATTACACGTGCTAGACGAATATTATAAAAAAGACCCATTGGCCTTGTTCAATGCAACCACAACGGGCATGATAATCGGCGATTTAAATCATTACGGCGGATGGTACTGTCAATATTGCTACGATTCAACCGAGAATATTGCGCAAAAAGTGCAACGTGATCGTACGATGAATGCGTCTATGCCCATTTTTACAAACAATTTAATAACTAATAATGACGTTATTCAACAGCAACAACAACAACAACAACAAAGATCCCCCAATCAAATCGATGCACCACACATCGAATCACTCATATCAGCCGGAGTGTATGTGGATGGAAAACTTGATTTAATTCGTTTGCATCGATATGCGGACAAATATTATGCACCCGACACGGTCACAAAAGAGTCTTGGAAATATGAATCTCTGCTCACCAATACGTATGCACACTATGATGGTGATATCGACGAATAAATTAAAATTTATTATTATCGTATCGTCCCGATTTTGGGAACAAAACAAACAAAACGAATATCTATTTCAAAAATATAAATATTTAGATAAATATGTATTTCAATCGAATAATGAGTTAGTTTAGCTTTGATGTGTATCAATCAGTGACCGGTTCGCGCATATTTCTATGCCTGATAGCTATGCTAAGCATAGCGGAGACGCAAGCCGCAACGCACCCGTCGCCATTCGATTCGAGCTATATTGTATACGCACGGTCGTCTGCATAAACGAACATGTGCATTGTTCATATAGAGTGAACGGCGATGCGTCGGTTGCGTTTGCGGCTATGCTTGGCATATCTATGCTACCTAGCGTATTTAGGCAAACATAGAAATATGCGCGAACCGGTCACTGGTATCAATCAGTTGATAACATATAGATTTTGGTTGTTTATATTTTGAGTAATTTGTTCCGAATTTTATCTGTGATAACATTTAACTCTCCATTGTAAATGTATTGCAAATTTGCCAACAACAAATAACTTCCACGAACCGTTCTTTTGTTTGCTTTTTATTTTACTTAATAATCTGATCAATTAAAGCAGGGTTAGTTATAGTTCATTCTTGCGTTGTGCAAAACCAATGAACTCACAATCATTGCACTCCATTTCGTTTTTTTTTTGTGGCAAAATTGTGTATTTCATCATCAATTGATCGATTAGCATCACATTGAAATGAAAAAGAAGAAGAAAATTAGTGTGAAAGAAAGATTGTCTGTATGATGGTTCTAGCGAAAAATCTATATTTTTCAATAAAAATCATAATTATCTTAATTGTATTAATGTTATTTTGCTATATAAATGAACTATGAAGCAACCGATGGCCAATCACAATATTACGAAATAAAAGCAAATAAAAATACTCGAATCAATTTTCTCAACTCATTCTATTTGTGTTATATATTCCTTTGTTCAAATGAACATCGATGATTAATCGATGGTTGTTTAATATTGATGCTATTTTTGTGTTTTGCAGATATCCAGCGCGTGTGTTTGTTGGCGATACATTTTGTTATCTGTCTGGAATGACATTTGCCGTTGTCGGAATATTGGGTCATTTCAGCAAGACGTTGCTATTGTTTTTCATACCGCAAATCATAAATTTTTTATATTCGGTTCCTCAATTGTTCCATTTCGTGCCTTGTCCGCGTCATCGTATGCCAAAATACAATGCAACCACAAATCAACTTGAAGCAAGCAAAACACAATTTCGCTACAGTGATTTGAACATTCTTGGACGTCTGTGTGTGACAATCTTTCGTTGGTTACGCATCATCGACTGGCAGGAGGATGCGGATGGTGTTGTTACTACCAATAATTTCACATTGATTAATTTTCTATTGATTGTGCTTGGACCACAGCATGAACAACGATTAACGAATTATCTGCTTTTCGTACAAGTGTTTTGTACATTGGTAGCATTTGTGATACGATATCCATTGGCGAAATATTTTTATGAATATTAGCAATGGATCATTTTTTTATACCAAAGTTCGAACTTTCTTTAAAGCATTTATTATTTCCCAAAAATAAGTTTTTTTTTTCTCACCATTGCTCGGAATTTTCAAGGAGATATTAGTATTTATGATGCGAAATAAATTAAAAAAAAAAATCACAGAAAAACAAGAGATTTTTCGTAATTTTCTCACCAAATTGATTTTTATTTAGTCTAATTTTCTTGGTTCATAGGTAAAGATATTTATTTTCGATCAATAAATCCAAAACAATGATTTTCAATTTTCCAGGATTGACCGGATTACATTCAATTTTTACACCTAAACCGAATCAAATCAAAACATTCTCCGAACAAATTGCTGTGGTTCATTTATTTATTAAACATTTGTAAAAGTTGTGCCTTTTCCTTTTCCTTTCGTTTGACCACATCCAAGCTTCGCTGCCTCCAAGTGCTTTTGCGCAATTTTATCGGCCGACTTCCGACGTATCGACCTATAAAGAAAGCGGAAAGCAAAAAAAAAAACCTATGGTAAGAAGAAAAAAAACCAAATTGATTTCGTGCAAAATGTTATGTCTAATTCGAAAAGTTGATCGCGTGCAAGAGTCGCTTAGATTAATATTTTTGATATGACTTAATTTTATAAAAAAATGAGCTGAGACAATTTCATTACACTTGAACTCCTTCAATAACGGAATCAATTAGATTTATTTATAAATAAAAACGGGCGAGCTCGTTATGTCGCAATCGCAATTATTGAACTTTGGACGCAAAATTACACACTTTTCATGATATGTTCATTGCCGCGTTCCATTTTTTTTCGTCGTTTGCTTTCAATTGTTATACTATATCAGTATTTTGTTCGTGACTAGAGTAACGAATGAGAAGACGTAATTCATCGACATAACATGATGAGAATGAGACGTGGTTCTTATCGAAAGCACATTTCAATGTGATGATCAATGTTTTTCCAATTGTTTACTATGTACACAAAGGAAAAAACGGTTCGTCATTATAGATGAGGGCTGGCATCAATAACATTTCTGAATTCCAATTATATTATATTGTAAAAATGGTAGACATCGACTTTTTTTCCATCATTTGCATTAATTGAACGATAAGACTCATTCAAGAGTCTGATGCTACGACAATCAGAGGGCAATGCATTTTAATGAGAAATAAAGAAATCAATATTTATATTACAAAGTCATCAGAAATGCAATGTTGTGTTTAGTCACGTTGAATATGTGCGCACATTCCTCAATTTATACGCATCAAAAGCAAAAATCCTTTATTAATTTGTCTGGTTACTGTTTGCCGCTTTTGGATCGTTCGGTGCGTATGTTCAATACCGATTAATTACAACAGTTATTTTTAATTAGTTCACGTGAATGAATTAAGGCCGAGATAACGAATCGATAACGGAAGTACAAAACCGAAGCGTTTACAATCATTTTCAACAGTTACAATTTAGTCCTGGAAACGAGCTAGTCGGTACACAATTAGGTGTTGCGCATCAATTTATTACGGAGACAATTTGTTAAATCAATCGAGAGAATAATCGGAATTTTATTCCCCAATTTACAAACAAAACACGGAACACGTAAGTTGAATTCAGAACTAGTCGCACACATTTTCTATAGGTTTGCCATTTTTCAAGCATCATCAAATTGGTTTTCAACAAAAAATTGCCAATTTTTAGAGACAAAAAGTTATTGAACGCTAATTTCTACGAGTTTTAAACGACTATTCTGCGCTTTGAAAACTTCGGAAGATTTTCAGAAATTATTTTTTTCCTGAACGAAAATATTTTTTCGCGAACGAATTTTCTTTCGGCCTTTTTCCCCGGTATTTTAAATGTTAATGTTCGTAATTAATTCAGCTAAAAATTGTCAATTGATTTTATTGAAAAATATCGAAGAAAAAATTTCTTCAATATATTCAAAATATCGTTTTGAAATTGAATTTAATTTGAAAACAAAATAAAGTGCTTTTAAGAGGCAAGAAAAATCAGGCGTACATTGAACAAACAAAAACAAGAATCCACCTTGATTAAAATAAAAGACTCTCGTTAAACAACATTTAATTAACATTCTCAATTCAAATAAAACGTTTGTTCAATTTCAACTTCAACCGTGTTGATGTATGTCATGAAAATAAATTTATGTTGAAAAAATTTCATGAACATGTAATGAATAAAAAAAAAAATAACTGATTAATTCCGATTGACGTTGATGTTCACGTGAAAGTCACGTTTCGAAGCGGTTGTCGTGTGAATATATGAAAAAGTCTTATTTAAATTTTGTATGAGCTATCTGCCTTTTGAGTATGATGCATGAAATTCCCAAAGAATAAAAAAAAAATTAAAAATAATTGTTCAAATATTGAAAGATATTGGGAGAAAATGGACTAAAAAAAATGGCTAATGGACTTGAAACATTTTCTTTAAAAAATATGATTGTTGTTGTTTTTCATTTAAAAAATGTTGTAAAAACTAATAAACGAGTTAGAAATGTGTTTGTCTTGTCCATGTATTTTAACCTTGAGCCGAGTGGGTTTACGGCGTATACTTTATGGAATGTCGTGATAAACATTACTAGCAGCCCATGATGTTGAGAAAGTGTTAAATTCCAATAATTGTTTACTTGTTCAAAGTTTGTTGATTAACAGAATCTAAATATAGAATTAGACTTCAATATGTCACTTTGAAATTCATACAATCTTACTCCTTCGATGTTTTTTTGTGTTTTGATTCGGTTCAAGTGTAAAAAATTACTTCAAAAGAAACCGAATATACGTATCGTACGGCCAACAGTTTGCATACAATTCATACCGCAAACAAAAATTAAGATGAAATTCCATTTACACCACTCTGATAAGAGGATGCATTTTTATAGCGAAAACAATTTGTAAGCCAGACATCCCGTAACGATTCAACGGCGTCTTGATAATTTTTTTTATTCAATTTTCTGAACCCATCATACATTGGATGATAAGTCAATCAGAATTGTATGGAACATTGGATTTTATTCGTTTCAAAAGGATTTAAGTAGATTGCAATTTGAAAAAAAATTACAATCATTTTACTCTCAAGCGAATCTAACCCCTTTTTCAAGCAATGCTTGAGTTCGGTGATTTTCCAGAGATAATGAACCACAGCACATACGTTTATAATTGACAAGCGTGTCAATAGTCAATTGACGCAATTTAGAATTTAGAACAATGATCAAGGATTTGTTTTGGTAAAATTTTCAAGTAAACAAACAACATATGAATTGATTGCATTTATATAGCAAAACACAATCGAACAAACACTGTTAATGGTTAAATAGAACATAAAGATTCCCCCCCAATAATATTTCTCCCTCTCGTGTTCCCTCATCTCTTGTTTATATTATTTGTTTACTATCAATTTGTGTGGCAATAAAATTTCATGATTTTGACGTCAGCCACGCGAAACGAGTTCAAAAGTTGACGCTCTGTAGCATTAAAACCGATGTTCGAATGATTCAAATTTTGTGCAACACATTTATATCAATTGACTTTGAAAGAAAAAGATTCCACAAAAACGTGCTAATTTCGGATTAGAAAAATGAATTAAAAATACACTAAAATCCCACTGATATGCTGGCCATAGAGCTAGGGGGAGACACGGGCTCAAATATTGCTAATTTTTCCTAAGTTTCTTAGTAAATCGCATGCGATATGCATATAACGTGTACATTTGACAGGACCTAATAAGCCCTAATATTTCTTGGTTTTTTTAGTTTTCTAGTTTGTGTCTACCCCCTAGCCATAGAGTCAAAAGTCCAAAAACCTTTTCATGTGAAATCAATGACTGTTTCATGAAATCAGTTGAATCGAAACGCGTTTTAAAAAACCGTTGTCGCTGCTCTGCATTCTTAATTAGGTGATCATTGTAAAAATTAAGTAGAAAACTGGAATAATGATGGAGAATTATTATCAGTATCACTTGGGCGTTTCAATTAAAATCGGAGCCGAAAGTGACGGAGAAAATTGATTGCATACACGTACAAAACGAACTCTCTTAAGTCAAAAGATCACATTCATTAGCTTGAGAAATGGTTCACATTGTATAGTAAAATTATAATGAACATAAAAAAGACTTGTCACTTTTTAATTAACTAACCCGAATCGCAATTTTTATTAATCTGTCTCATTCACACAGATTATGAATCCGTTGGCTTTAATTGGATTTTTCCTGGTAATTTTTTGCGGCATAAAATACGCAAATGCCGTACCAGTTGCATCAGAATCAGCAATATCAGTGGAAAATACAACGTTCGCATTGAATAGTGATGAAAAGATATACAACACAACCGACGCAAGTAAATCCTTAGCGCCATTGGTTACACAAACGACGCAAAAACCAAAATCAAAAACACGTCGACGCATCAAGCGTAAGAAGGCAGATTGTCATCCAACAACAACCAAAAAACCGACAACACAAAAACCATCCATTTCATATTCACCCAATCTATTCATCACAATAAACTGGGGACCGGGCCGTTGACCCTGATCAATTTCGAATTATACTTAATAAAATTCCACGACATACTCATCGAAATTGTTCATGCATAATCTAATTGTTAAGGTCTCTGGTACAAATTTTTCATATTTATGTGTTCATCTAAGCATTTGGTGCTGTGTTAAAATAAATGTATAAAATAACAACGAACTGAATATAAAACAAAAAAGAAAAACTGTTTTTCTTACCATCCATTTCCTTCATGGCTCGAATGAAATCCGGCGGTTCTTTGAAACTAACGAAGCCAAAACCTTTTGATTTGCCGGTTCGTTTGTCTCGTATGACTTTTGCTTTTTGAAATGATGGATATTTGTTGAAAGTTCGTGTTAACAGTTCATCATTGACATCGTTTCCCAAATCTCCGCAAAAAATACGAAAATCATCACCATCCCAATCGGCCAAACTCGGATCTTCCCAAACAACTCCGCCTGCCATTCTAACCGCCTAAAAAGATGAACGTTTCATTAGGTCAGCAATAATATTCTTACCTTTCCACCATACCTTTTTATCTTTCTTCCGTTTTTCGTTGATTTGGAAGTTTTGCAAAGCTGACGATGCTTTGGCCGCTTGAATGGCTGCTTCGGCGATTGGATTTGGACCGTTTGTTTTCTCTGTTTTAAGTTTTTTCAATTTTTGTGTTACATCGAATTGAATTGTAGAAATATCGATCTGAAATGAGAGTAGATTTGATAGCATAGCTATTATCAAATTAAATTTCATCGGTTTTTACCTGAGGTGCAATTTTCGCTTCGGTTGGATTAATGGACAATCGATTCGTGTATAATTTTGGTGCACTGCTCAAGACAACCGGTGTCGGCTCGGAACAATATGACTTTTCTGGCGGTGCTGAATGATCATGTGGCATAAATGTGGACACGAATGTTGGTGCGATTGGTGGAGGCGGCACATTGTTCAATACAGGAGCATGTCTCGATGGCGGATGTTGTTGCAGCTTTTGTTGAACTTGACTGTATGTATTCGCACAAACAACGGGTCTTAACTGATGTGGAATGAACATATTGTTGGAACTGGAACTCGGTCCATTGCTTGATGATGCACTAGAAATCTCAGCTTCGAACCTATTCGAGAGAAATAGTAAACGTTTAGAAATGTTAATTGATATTTCACTAAATTCGAAAATTTCCAAAGGAAATTTATAGTTTTATTGTTGGCAATTTTTACCTAGATAACTCATCTTCCATGTATTTTCGTTTTTCGCCCATTTTTCATAGAATTTTTTTGTTTTTTTTCCCTCAAATTTTAATTTACACGGATGGTATAGAGCTAACAAGTTTTATTTACCAAAACGCGATAGTGACAGAAAAAAGAGTTTTTTTTTTTGACAGATACAATAGACATTATAGCATGTGGTGAGTATTTTTTTTATTCAACTCAAAGTGAGCAAAACTCATATCATTCATCGGTTATTATTCTGTTTATGTTCATTATCACTAAATAAAACAAAATAATCATAAACTAGACAATTTGTGATTTGTTCTTTTAATATCTTTTTAATGAGACCAAAGTGCATTTATGCCAAAATACCAGAGAATATATTCAAAATGATTATCTTAATTTCTTCAGTTATATTTGGCAGGCGGTCAACCGAGAGAAAATTAAAAAAAATGTTCAAATTATTTATTCGTAAGCCAGAAAAAAATTAAACGGCATTTTTCTAATTTCTTCTCAATAAAACTTTTAAAAGTCGCGGCAGACAATGTAGTTTGACCATTGTGGTGAATAGTTTGATTCAACTCAAAGTGAGCAATTCAGAAATGCGCTTAAAATAAATGTGTCTCTTCAAATGAATGCAAAAATTAATGGAGAAAAGCAAAAAAAAAATACACTCAATTTTTCTAACATAAAATTATAATTTTGCGATGCAAATATAAATTGTATATGGGAATAGTGTGAACGGTGCATAACAGCTTTCAACTCCAGCTGATGTTTTCTGTCAATTTCAAAGTGGAAAAAAAGTCAGTTTTATAATAACCTCACTATGTTTACATAAACAAATATGCTCATATTCACACTGTGATCAAAGAAAACACCGAAAAAGAAATAGCGGCAGCAACGCGACCACCAAAACTGCACCGTATGTCAGAGTTACTTATATAAGCAATCGAGTAAAATTAAATGAAATAGAAAATTTTTGAATGCAACACAGCCGAATATTAGAGCGAGAGAATAGATTCGAATAAGAATATTCATTTAATAATGATGTAATGGATGGGATTTTTTTTTAAAACGGCAAGCAAGTGAATGTGCAGAGAGAAAAAAAACTAGGTGTGAACTGCGTGCATTCGAAGCAAGTTGTCAAAGTGTGCAGCGCTGCTTTTTATTCTCGGTTAAATCGTGTACAGTTGTGACGTTGATGCGGTTTTTTTTTTTTAATGGAACAATACGAAGATAATTTGATCGGCTTGGACGATCAAAATGAATTCCAACGCATATTTCCATTTGTCCTAGTCGAACCGAATAAAGAAAATAATTTGGATGAGATTTTTCCCATGATTGTTAACCGACCAATACCGAATAACCAACAAAATATTAATAATAAACTAACGCCTGAAGATTTAAATAGATTGGATCGATTTGGAACGGCTTTGGCCAGGTAAATAAAATAAATAAATTCGAGCATTTTTTGTTTTATATATTCGTTTCTTTTTATTTTCAAAATTAATAAAAACCAACAACAAATTCATCTTTTCTATTTTACAGGAATGGAAATCTTCTGGCAGCCCAATGCTGTTTTGAGAAAATTCTTTCAATCGAACCGAACTATTTAAAGTCGTATCAAAACTTGGACAACGTCAAAAATCGATTGGTTGAACGATGGCATTTTGGTATGTTGAATGATGCGGATCGTAATAAAAAATATAAAGCAGCTATTACTAAGGCAATTCAGCAACGAAATCAAGTGAGTGTGCTTGATATTGGTACGGGAACCGGACTGTTTGCATTATACGCAAAAGAGGCGGGCGCCACACAGATAGCAGCTTGTGATAGTTCATCGGTTATGTGTCAAATGGCATCGGAAGCATTTCATCGCAATGGATGCGGTGATCAAATAAAATTGATAGCAAAACATTCGAACAAATTGAATGCCGAACTTGATTTAGGTGGAAAGGTTGATTTAGTTGTAACGGAAACAATGGATTGCGGTGTATTTGGTGAAGGTTTGCTCGATACGCTTATAAATGCCAAAGAATTTCTTCTCAAAGCAAATGGTCAAATAATACCAGCACGTGTCAAACTGTATATAGCCGGTTTTCAATCAACACAATTGGCAATGGAATCAAATGTTATAAATACAAATAGTTTTACCGATACCATTTTTCTTCAAAACTATACTCTTAGTTCAAATAATCAAGATGAACCATACGATTCATGTTACATCGAACAATTAACCGATTTTACGCTAATTACAAAAGTCGAAGAAGCATTGAGCGTGGATCTCAACAATTTGGATCAAATGTACTCATTGATGAATGGACAAATTACCAAAGATGTGCGCTTAGCATATAATATACCAGAGAGTATTTTGGATGGTTTTTGTGTTTGGTTTGAAATGTCACTCGATCCCGAGGAAACAATTATAATAAGCACAGATCCACGGAATCATAATGCATCGATTGGTGAGCAACAGTGCTGCTGGGAGACTGCCATATTTCGTTTAAAACATCGTTTTACAAATACACAAAAATTACAAAATCTCAATGTCACTGTTTCGGCAGCAAATGGAATATTGGCCCTCGAACACTATTATGATACATATGCTAAATCGTATACGGGATTAACCACAGAAATGGTGCGATTTTTAAATGACATCGATCTGATTGATGCATTAGAATTCGAAGCGTTCGCTGAAATAACCAGAAGATTTGGAACAATAAAACCAAAACCAAGATCACCGCTACCATGCGGCAAGCCTAGAAAACCAAAACCAGCAAGAGAACTTATATACATCGATAATGTGTTAGATTTTTCACCATTTCCCTCGGTTGGCATAGCATTGCTAAAAGAGAAACGCCTCAAAAAATTATATTGCTCAAGAGAAGCCTGCAATTTCGTGACATTCATATCCAAAACAAATTGTATATCAATGAATAACATAGTATTTATTGATGATCCGCATGATGCGTTATTCGTAAGCGATGTCTTCGATTTGATTATATTGCCATTGATTGACCACCTCGGTGCATTGATCTCGAGTAATGTAGCCAATTATGGTCTTTTAAAAGATAATAAATTAACAAAAAAAGGTTTCATGATGCCTGATCAAGTGGACGTTTATTGTAATGTCATTCAATCACGATGGCTACGCACATTTTGCCGTGTAACCCAACCAGAAATAGTGGATCGTCTTCAAATTGGATCGTTAATAAATAAATATGCAACAACATTACACTTAGATTTACCCGAATTTTTGCCCACATGCAAAACATTATACGAAGCATTTCACATAGGCAGTCTGCGATTAAACGATGAATTCTATTCGTCGACCCATGAACTGTTTGTGGGATTGGATAGGCCAGTGATTAATCCGGAACCATGTAGCAGCAGCAGCATCAGCAGCGGCGGCAGTTATGCTATTCACGGTATATTGTATTATTTCCACTTAATATTGTCGCGAACGTCAGCAGATGAAGCCATTTCAACGAAACGAAATAATTCATTCGCTCGATTAGGCTGTTTTATGTTCAACGAGAATGAGGTGCACAAAGAGAATGGTTATGTTAATTTAACATTTCGCCAAAATTCTGGTGTTATGAAAATCGATGTATAACAGAGTAGGGATATTTGTTTGATTCACATAAAGAAATGCTATTTAGATTATTGAAATGATGTTTTTCTCAAATGTATTTTCATAAAGTTTTTTTTTTTCGTTCTTCACAATTTTGTTAAACTTCAATTACAATATAGTCAATAAACAAAACAAAAAGGTACAATGTTTCAAAAATGATGATTCTAAATTTCTATCAAAATGTAAAGAATTTCGATATAATTTCTTATGCAATCAACCAACATTAAAAAAGAAAGAATAATACTAAATAATCGCTTGGTTTTTTTTTCGTCTCATTTTGATTTTAGGAATAAATAAATATCAATGTTATTTAAAGAGCCCGATTTGTTCGAAAAGAAGAATTTTTTCTTAGCTCAAACTCATTCGAGATATTCTATATAGTCAAAGATGAAATTTTTTTTTTTTAATGTCATAACACATGGTTCACATTGTGTGCATCGCATGCGTTGACGTGCTACCTTGCTAGCGGTTCACAAAATAATAAATACTTTTCGTTCCACAAAATTGTTTTGATAAATTACTCTAATAAATTGCTTTATGTTTCTTGGTCGCGAAATAATGAATGATTTATATTAAACGAACTGATAATCAACCAAAAAAAAAAAATCCGTTATCAAATGCACGGTATTTCTAACGTGACGTACTTTGTCTAAATCTCAAAGTTCAATTTTGTGGGGTGTGTCAAACTATGCATATTTATGTTTTTTTTTTTGTTTATGGATCCTTTTGATAAGAATCATCATTTAGAAAAAATCGTTCATTGATTGCCAGCATAAGACTTGCCATTACCAGAATGAACTGTGTTCTTAAGGTTTTCATCGAAGAAAACACGATTCTTGACAAGTCGGTCTTGAACACTTGGCAACTTAAAGGGTACACCATTTATGATTGGCTTTGGTGTTATAATCGGGGCCTGAATGAGTGATTCAGATTTTAATTGCGAATTTGGCGGTTTGAATTGATCAATCACCGGATAGTTCATGTTAATCAATGCCGATGCATTTGCATTCAAGTTCGTATCCATCATAGCGGGCATTGTATTCGAGACGAATGATTGTTGTTGTTGCCGTTGTTGTTGTTGTTGTTGTTGATGTGGTTGCCGCATAAGAGCTCCGCCACCAACACGACCAGTTCCGAACACTCTTGCTGCTTCCACTGTAATTAAATCAAAATCGAAATGAATAAAGAATTGTCAAATAATTGTAATAGGTTCAGTTGGGTCTTACATTTGACACTTTTGACTTCACCGTCTTTAGTGACTGATACGGTGATATTGCCGCGCTTTTCAATCGATAAATCGGATAATTTTTGTTGTAAATTGTCTGCATCTGATTTGGCTGGAATCGCACGCTGTTGGATGGATGCTTTACTGCTTAATTTTGCATTCGAATTTAAAGCGCCAATTTTTCCATCGATCTTTTTGCCAGTTGGTGAATTTGGAACGTTAATTTTGACTTCTTTGCCGTCATATTTCCTATCATCGGTGCGTCTCCACATGCCATCGCTTGACTTTTGTCGTTGCAATCGTGGTTCGTGATTTTGTCGTACCTCGTTTGTACGTTCACGATCATTTTTACGTAAAATTGGTTCATCACTTTTACCTTTTTGCAATGGATTTTTCCCCTTGCCTCCATTTCGTCCACGATTGAAACTACTATTGTTGGAATTATTACGGCGATTATTGTTGTTCGATGCGCCAGTTATATTGCTATTATTATTGTTGTTATTATTATTAGCACGCCAATTCTTATTATCATTTGAAGCGATGTTTGCTTGCGATTTACCATCACGTTCGGCATCCGCTAGAAAATTGTACGTCGGATCGGCCGGTGGACCTTGACCTTCTGGAAATTTTTTAAATGGACGTTGTAATCGACTTTCATCCATTGTTTTCTTCTCATCACTGTCGGCATCATCATTTTTCACGTCATATGTGAAGTCCAATTTATCGTACTTGTGCGCCTTTGGCCACTCATCATCGGATGGTGCGGTCATTTTAACCATTGCATTCGCCTGTAATGCAGCTAAACGATCTGCTTCAGCTTCCCGATGTTTTTTCTCGATCTCTTCATCTCTCTTACGAATTCGTTCGATGCGTTGCTCGAGATTTTCTTCGCAAACATTACCACCGGGCATCGTTACCTTCAAATTCGAATAATTCGGAAAATTTCAAAACTCTGTAAAGGCGAGTGCACAAATGACAAAATGTACGTTATAAGTAAACCTGAAATGAAAGAAAAATAACAAAAAACATTGCAATATCAAGTGACAAACAATTTATAATGGAAAGTGGGCCACAACTAATAGTTATAGCATGCATTAGGTCAATCGAATTTAATCACTGTCACTTTCACATAATTATACATTTTCAATACATGCGTTCTTTCACCGCTCCAATTTTTTTTCCCTCACTCATCTACATGACTATTAAAGTACTTGATGTGTGATGTCATTGTCACTTTTCATATAGACATTACAACATTCCACAAATTGCAATGTATTTTTCAACAAAATACAAAAATATACAAACCTCTTCAATGATATCGCTCAGCGAAACACAAATTCAGAATTAAACACGAATCAAAATGAGATACAATGAAAACGAAGTGTTATGTGCACCTAATCTCAATTATATATTTAGCAAAAAAAATGACAACGAGACTAAATTACTATTGGCACACGGAATTTGATTTTGTTAAATAGCATCAAACAATGATGCACAGAATCAATAGTTGTTATTTGGTGGAATTTTCGAGTTGAACGAAAAAAAAAAATTAAAATAATTTGACTATTTGTAAAGGTGAGAGATTGAGAGAATTAAAGTCGGAAACGAGATCGCCTGTGCTCTCGATGACAGACAATGTCTATTCTGCAGAGTAAAAATGATATGGAATGCGTTCGGTTGTCAAAATGAAATTGTACAGACACACACTAACACACTCACACCGAAAAACGACAACCGAAAGCAGCACACGAAAGAAAGAAAGAGAGCGATGGAGGTGTGCCGATGTTTAGCAAGAGTTTATACATTTTTGGTTTTATTTTACTAATTGATGCATGGAATTCGTTAGTATATTTCATTGGAAAAAGCTAATTTGTCTGCATCCATTATCGATAGAGAAAAATATGTGTCCAATTTGAACACCCTGTTCCAGAGCAGAGAAATCAGCAAACTGAGCGCATACTGAATGTTCGTCAGTAGGTGAAAATCATCAAAACAAAAAATGGTAACACCAAAAAGAAAGAAGTCAGAACGCACGCACTTACACACCATTGCCTAGGCTTATCTATTGACAGAAAAATTAGTCATACAAATGTGATAGAGAACATCTGATATGCTGGCATCAACAACAAAAACACGTAAAAAATGTTTAGAATATAGAACGATGTTATCAAGTTTCGTTGTATTGTCGTTATTCGCAAATCATATACACAATAAAATGAATTAAACAGCATGTTCAACTAGAAAAAACGGTAGAAAACGCCAAAAAATCAACTGGCGCTACATTTTCTACCAAACTAGAGCTACGAGTCGTGGCCCACGACATTACAAGGCAATTGATCATTCATTAGGACAAAGTGTTTTTTAAGTCGTCGAAGCTCAAATCTTATGCAATTATCTCAATTTAAAAAAAATCAATCCAAAGGATCGGTGCAGGTTGTGTTGTGATACTTGTCTATTTTATTCTTCGATGTGTACACTCGACAAGCGGCTCGGACAATGAAGACGAAAATTGTGATAATTGTGTGCATTGGTATTTTATCGGTTTTTATATTTTTGACCCGATCCACCGGCTATGTCGATGATTTTGACAAGGAAGAAATTGAAAAACGGTCACAGAGCTTCAAATTCAAAGCGCAACATACACGCATGAATAACCAACCAAATCATCTATTTTGGTTTGTACAAGTAGGTGTAAAATTGAACTGATGTCAAAGGAATAAAAATGTTCAAATTATTGATGATTTTATTTTCAGATCTCTGATATTCACATAAGCATTTTTCGTGATGCGGAACGTATCCACGATTTTCGAAAATTTGCCACCGAAACATTGGATACGATTAAACCGCCGGTAGTTTTGGCTTCTGGCGATTTAACAGATGCAAGAGGAAAGGATTTTTTCATTTCTCAACAATTCGAAGATGAATGGAAGATCTACAATGAAATTCTTACGAAAGCCAATATACGAAATAAAACCATTTGGTTGGATCTTCGTGGAAATCATGGTAATGAACTTAATTTTTTTTATCTAAACCTAAATTTATCAAAAATGCGTTTAAATGTTTCAGATAATTTTAACGTTCCACCGAGCCAGTCGAACAACTCGCATTTCAAACGATATTCGATACAAGGAGCAAAACATCGACGTTCCTATTCGCAATTGGTCAAAGGTTCCGACGGTGATTTGTATTCATTTATCGCTGTTGATGCTTGTTTGGAACCGGGACCGAAGCGGCCATACAATTTTGTTGGAATGTTAACACAAAACGATACCGATCATCTTCAACATTTGGTTGATGAGTCACGTCGCCAGGGCGTTAATTACACCATTTGGTTTGGGCACTACCCAACCACATGTGTGATCACCAAAAACAAAGAGCATCGTTCTTTACGGCGTCTTATCAGTGATTATGACACAAGTTTGGCGTATATGTGCGGTCATTTACATTCATTGGCCGGGATGGTTCCACGAATGTATGCATTACAAGCGAATAGCTTTCTCGAACTTGAGGTGGCCGACTGGAAGGTGTGTCGCAAATTTCGTGTTGCCGCAATCGACCATGGATTGCTGTCATTCGTTGACGTTCAACATGGCGCGTGGCCCATCGTTTTAATCACGAATCCAAAGCATGCCCTATTTCATATTCCACATCGACATGAAGCCAAAATTCAATTGGGTTCGTTCAAAACTTATAAAATTTTCTCAAGACTATAAAAAATAAAATAAAAATTTCAATTTACAGAATCAACGCATATTCGAATATTGGCATTTTCACCGGCCGGAATAAAAAGTTGTGGCGTGCAAATAGATGGCGAATTTAAAGCAACATGCGAACAGATAAACGATAAATTTTTTGTTGCACCTTGGGATCCAAAACGCTATCAGAATGGTTTGCATCATATCACTGTTATCGTTACAGATAACATGGACCGTGAAAACAAAGTGACGCAACCATTTAAATTGGATGAAACACAATTACTTGACTTCGACATACTGGCACTATTCGTTTTGAGAACAGATGCTACAACGATTTTCAAAAGTCTCTTTTGGTTTTCGCTAATACTGTGCGTTGCGCCGTTGATTTTCTTACGACTTTGGCACGAACTGATTAAAAGTAAACGTTTACAAAAATTGAGCACTCGTTCATATGTTAAGATTTATTTTATTCTTTGCAGTCGGTTTATTGAGTCGAAAACGTGCTAGTTGTCGCACATCTATGTCGATTGTTCAGCAATTTTGGATTTTGGCAAGTGTAGACCGCATCGTTTGGCCAGTGATATTCTACTGTTTCTATCTCGCATTTGGACCATGGGTTATTTGCGAAATTGTCGATGGTCGTTATGGTGCAGTTTTTGTGTGGGGCATTTATTTGGACGGTTCATTTTTACCAGGATCTCTAACTTTCTTATATGGATTCGCACAGTTGTTGTTATGTCAATTTCCATTGAATTGGATATACACCAAATGCTTGACAAAAAGATATTATCAATTGATCGGTATGCCGACGAAAAATCATCGTGGATGGTGGTGTTCTCCGAAAAAAATCTCACAAACTGCATTTTATTTCATAATCACAATTGAGATATTACTTTCAATATTCTTCGGTATTCTGTACGGTGCAGTTGCTTTCTTCCTTGGTGTATTCAGAACATGGTCTGTGGTAATGAACATTTATCTATTTTATCTCGCCAACAACATTCCAGACCACGCATTGAGGTAAGGGCACTTGATTTTTTTCTTTTCAAAATGGAAGTTAAAGTCAATTCCCATTTATAGATCTGCGGTGTATGTTTGGAGTGGACAAGAAAAATTACTGAATCAAAGCCAGCCAGAACCAAATGAAACGTAAGACACTACTAAACATTTATTCAAATATACATAGTACATTGTGGTTTTCCATAGCCACTGACGAAATCAAGCCACTTCGTTTTTTATGGAACAACTCGGTTTAATATTAGTTAAAATATGTGTAATGTGTATGAGAGGCAACTTTTTGTTCAAGCTGATCTCTTTCGAAGGTTTATGCGGTTTTGGTTTTGTGAGTCCGTTTACTAAAAAATACCTATAAATCTGTTTTTATTTTGCAGCGACGAGAATCATTCCAATTGAGTTTGGAACTCCGACTTCTTCACCCAGCTTTACTATTATAATCATTATTCACAACTTGGCCATAATCTCTGTGACTCCGTCTCGTTTTAAAGATGTGATGTTCAAAAAAAGAAAAGAAAAACGGGTCCATATCCAAATCTATTTACACATTCAATGCATCACATTCATTAGATGTTTAGATAAATAGTAGCATGTGTAATTTATAGAATAGGGTGAGTCAATTTATATAACGTGCCGATATCAAAATTCCTGGAGGAAACTTTCTGCATACTTACTTTTCCTAAAGGATGCCTCCTGTTCGAGGAGGTAGATTTGAAAAAACCCTTTGGTAAAAATGAATGGGTGAGGATTAAAGTGAGCTCAAATCCTGATGAAAAAGGGCATCATGATTTTTTTTACATAGATTTGTTGTTGTAATTACATTTTTAGATTTAAATGAGATTTTCACATACAAAAAAAAATCATAGCCATGGATTTTGATATCGACACGTTATAAAAATTGACTGATCGCAGTGTAGAATCAATAAAAATGAGTCTCGACATATTTTTAGAAATGTATGTTTATTGCAGAGATTGTTCCTCAGAGGAGGAGGAGAGGACTGAGAGGCTAAAAAGCTATTTTCATTACGAATAATGTTTTTTTCATCCTCCTCACCGATCCTCTTCCTCAGAGGAACAGTCTCTGGTTTATTGTGACAACCAACTGTGTATGTAACAATCGTCATCGTTGTTGTAATTTAACAATTTAAAAATGATGCTTAAATCTAAAGACATGCTATTTTTTTTTTTAAATCCAGACACACATTTAATTCTAAGAAATATAAATAATTTTGATGAAATTTACAACTAATTTCCTTTGAAATAATAAAATACATGTCTACCGGGTAAAGTCGAAATTTCCGACCATGCTCATGATCCCAACCAAGGAAATATAATATAATAAATGCATATTTATTCGTAAATTTATTGACTACTGCTCCGATAGTGAAAAATGATAAAACACCGGAACAAAACTTATTTGCCCGATCCAATGTACACGTAATTTATTTTCAATGTGAATTGTGAATAAAATGCAATCCAAATTGATGGTTTTACTGCGTACAGTTTTATTTCCAGCAAATTATTAATAGTATACTGATTGAACCTTGAATTCAAGGTAATACGATGTAAAATGTTAATTATTTATAGCTATGTATATTTTGTTTTTATCTGAAATGGTAGCATTGGTAATGAATGTTCCATAATATTGCTTTTAAATATAGTCCTTTATTTAGCGATAACAATTCTAGTACTTCGTTCTTGCCGTAGACATGTCAACTGCAAAACCAAATCGTAGTTGTTCATTGTAAACAATTTTACGACTGTCAGATGTATCAATACTTTTCGTTGGACAATAATTTTCGAACATCTAAATCAAAATGGAACAAAGATACTTCAACAATCCGTATGAAGAGTTTAAAGGGCAGCCAGTTGAGGTGGATGAAACTTATGTGCGAAATTTGATAAAAACATACGTACAACAAATTGTGGAAAATACACAAGGCGGAGACTCACGCGGTGATTTGTATGTTGGCGATGCAGGTGCTATATTACACTATTGTTTTAACTTTTTATTCTTAATTTAAATCCAATTTACTATTTATAGGCATTGCATTTATGTTTTTACGTTTATGTCAAACCAATGAATTGGTTCAGGAAACGTCAGCACGAGAAAATGCTCAACTTTATATAAATCGAGCCAAACGCAATGCCAAACAATATTCACGTTCAAGAGATGAACGTTGTGCCTTTTTATGCGGTAATGCTGGAATATATGCCGTTTCTGCGGCCATATCCGAGCTCACTCAAAAGCCAGACACATTACAACAAGACTTGAAAGACTTTGAACAAGGATTCGAAGCGTGCAAACCGGTTAATTACAGTAAGCATGGCGGTGATGAATTGCTAGTGGGTCGTGCTGGTTTTTTGAGTGGTGTATACTGGTTGAATCAAACACTAAAGCCAAAACCATTTTCAAGCGAAGCAATCGTTGAATTGTGCGAATCAGTTGTGAAAAGCGGACGACAATACTCGAAAGAACGGCGAAGTACATTTCCATTGATGTATCAATATCATGGAACTGAATATCTGGGTGCTGCACATGGTCTTAGTGGAATTTTGCATATGTTATTGGAGTCACCGTGGTTTAGTATTGATTCATCTGGTGCGATTCCAATACCGAAAGACTATGAGGCCGACATCAAGGACACCATCGATGCATTTTTGGGTAAGTTTTATTAACACCAGTTATGTTGACGGTAATTTGGTTTTTTTTACTATTCCTGATTTTATACAAAATTACCAGCACTGCAAGATAGCGAAGGAAATTTCCCTTGTGATATGGAAGATGCATATCACGGCAACGCCAACAGTTTACTGCACTGGTGTCATGGAGCACCGGGTGCAATTTATCTGCTGATCAAAGCGTATCTCATATTCAAAGAAGAAAAGTATTTGGTGGCAAGTGAACGTGCCGCCGATTTGATATGGCAAAGAGGCTTATTGTTCAAAGGACCGGGAATATGTCATGGGGTGGCTGGGAATGGATATGCTTCATTAATAATGTACCGACTTACAAACAATCCAAAATATTTGTATCGAGCCACCAAATTTGCAAAATTTCTATCACAACACGAGTTTGTAAGACATGCCAGACGCCCGGATTGCCCATGGAGTCTATACGAGGGATTGGCTGGAACAGTTTGCTATCTAATTGATCTACTTCATCCGGCAACGGCAGCTTTTCCTTTTATGAATGTTTTCTAGATTTATTCATTTTTTTAAAATTTCTATTGCATATTGACCATTACATGTCTTTTCATCAAAAATTAATAAAAAAAATCGCTTTCTAAAAAATGTGTCAGCGTTTATTGATCAATAAATGTTTTTTTATCCTTTCCAGCATTGCAAGAGCACGATGGAAACTTCCCGATAGCACTGGCTAGCGATAGAAAACGAAATACTGAAAAGCGACTAGTTCATTGGTGTCACGGTGCGCCTGGTGCTGTATACTTTCTTCTGCGAGCATATCAAATCTTCAACAATGAAAAATACTTGGATGGCTGTAAGAGAGCCGCCGATTTAATTTGGGAAAAAGGACTACTCCGAAAAGGACCATCACTGTGTCATGGAATTAGTGGCAATGGATATACTTTTCTGATGCTGTACAAGGTCACTCAAAACCCCATGTATTTGTATCGAGCGATAAAGTTTGCAAACTTTCTAACCAAGTCTCGTTTCATTCGTGAGGCAAATACACCAGATCGGCCATTTAGTTTGTACGAAGGCATAGCTGGTGCTGTCTGTTTTCTCATAGATCTTTTACATATCGAACAGGCCACCTTTCCATTTTTCCGAATTTAAAAATCAATTTGAAAATAAACACAATTTAATCACAATTAAAAATACGCTTGACTTTCCTTTAAATAATGCAGAATTTTAATGTTCCGTTTGATTCTTATCGTTTTGTTTGTTTTTTTTTTTTTGTTTTTTACAAAAGTTGGAAAATATTGACTTCAAGAAAGTAGTATAAGATGTGTGTGAGAGAAAAAAAATACATTGCATTCAGATGTTTCGCAATGTGAGACTTAACAATCCAAGAAATTAGCTGCCATCAACAGCTCCAAGGCAATTTCCGGTGCTATTGGAAACTCAGGTATTTCGGTAGAACTATTTGTGTATCGAACTTTGTATGTGAAATACATGCACACCTTTTGCAGTACATGAGACGGAATCTCACGGAAGTTCACTTCGTTTGCTTCATTTTCAGCAAATTGGCCCGGTCCCGACAGCATAGCTTTGATTGTGCCCGATGTCAATGCATGTTCCCGTTTCACTATATTTTTTGTTTGGAAGAGACAAAAAAAAAATCACAAAAGTTACTATTATTATTACACTGAATGAAAAATTGTTTCATCGCATGAAAAATGAAAAATTGTTTCAACAAATCGAATTTATCGTTGCATTCGAAATCACACAGTTAATTGACAAGGTAACACAATCGACGCAAATGATTATTGGAATTCGAGAGATGTAAAAAAAAAACTCTGTTTGGTGCACGCTGCCGTGGTGTGATATCTTAAACAAATACAAATGGCAATTGCGTTTTGTTTTATATGTATATTTACAAAGCCCAACACATTGTGTACTGTCTTCGTCTGTCATTGCATTATATACGGAGAACGAGAGTCGCGGTCCAAGGTACATACCAATAAATTCGTGTCCATCGGATGAAATAAGTTTCACGTACATAGCATCAGGACCTTCACAGCCACCGAATACTTTTTGCGATGTTTGTTCCTCCATTGGTTGAGACATCTTTGTTAATACAATTAATTTTCACCGATTTGGCCTTCGTTTTTAAGTTGAATATAATGCTGTGTGTAATGATGACCTTTGACAGTACTTTGCCGATGACAAATGCAAAACTACTAAACTTTTTCGTTTGATTTCTCAATCGACTCTCTTCAAATGCGACTATTGTGTATATGTCAAGCGTCAAACAATTCGACTCTCGATAGGGGTTTTGAGCGCACCACACTGCAATTATGTTCCATAAGAGACTGTATAAAATGCAAAACTATAGCACAGCTAGCGCCACTACGGACAACTATGGAGTTCTAGTCAGTTGTTTGTAACTGAGCAAAAGTCTTTTCACTAGTTGGCGGCAACTTAGTATAGATTACATTGAATTCCGTCGTGGCGCTAGCTGTGTGACACTTTGAGCATAATTTCGGTACGGAGCGCACCAAATTCAAATTAAATGCGATTGTACAACACAGATACCACGAATTTTATTTTTATAAAATACCATTTCAATGGAATATTCGAGATAAAAAGTACTGATTTGTTTTGTCTTTTCTGAAAGTATTAATAATTTATTGGCATTCAAAGTGGATGAAAATTGGAGAATTTCAATTTTAATATAATCTTTTGGAAAGAAAAATGTAAATAAAACACTCGAGTTCAATTCAAAAAAAAAAATTTCACACTTCTTTCTTCGAACAATCCACTAAAAAAAAAAAGTTACATAATTTCCTGGATCATTGCACAATTTGATATTAGTGACTTCCAATGTCGATAGGCAACTGTATTTCAGCGACTATTTTTCTTTGTTGTCTTGTTTGTTATCTTCTTTCTTTATATTTTCTGTTCTTTGGTCAAAATTCGTTCGCCAATGATTTCCATGCATAGTCAATCTAATAAGTATAACGAAACAATCTCTATAAAAGTTTATATTGCTTAAGCTTACACATTATTCAAAATCGAGCACTGGACAACACAAAATTGGCAACAAAATCCAAGACATTGAAGAACAGATAAAGGAAATATTTTCACCTATTGTAATGCTTTTTTCTCTGATTCTGTGTTCACAACATGTTCCACTAAGATGCTTAATATTTGGTACCAAAAATTTATTCATTTTCAATTCCAACATTTACAACTGATTACATCATATACATCCCAAAAATACAATTGATACATTCAATACATTCATTACCTCATCCTTCTCATTAATAGACTTATCTAGCATATGATATCTTCATTTAGTGAAAATTAAAAGAAAGTTTGAAAGAAACAAATACAGTTTAATATTTCTAAACTTGAATACCAATTAGAATTATTAAGATAGAAGATTGACATCATTTAAAAAAAAATTGGGTACGTTTAAAAAACATTAGAAAACATGAGAAATAAGTTGATATGATTGAAATTAATTCGTTCAAAACTGTTTAAGTGTTATAAAAAGGTATAATGATTTTTGTTTTTCCTCTTAAAAAACTTCTTCTGTATATATACTAAGTGTTGTGCAATTCGATTCTCGATAGGGATAAAGATGCACAAAATTCAAATTAAATGCGATTGTACAAGTTGTATAACATGAATGCTACGAATATTTCTTCCATAAAATGTCATTTTAACGTAGTATTTATGATAAAATGAATTGAATTGATTTATTTGATAAAAATATTCTAAAAATTATTCGTCAATCGTATTTTGTGGTCGTGTGAATGCTAAAAACATACAGTGGCGCTGTGAACAGTGTTCGTCGCTTCAATCATACAATATCTCTCAATACGGTAGTTGTCAAACAATGCTTCATTCTTTTCGTGTAAATTTTGTGCAAATGAAAATTCTCTTGAATATGAAGCATAGAAGTTTGTTCACCATTTAGTTAAAATCAGTAATTCGGCGTTTGGAATTTGTCCAGTGGCACAACGACATCATTTAATACTGCTTGATTTCAATTGTAAGTGTTTGTTGTATTTGTTTTACAATAAAATAGCATCATTTTATCAGAGTGTCAAAAAAATTCATTCCGTTCTCTTTATATACAGTCGACATTGAGTACATGTAAATGCTAACCTCAAAAAAGTTTTTTTTGCTTTGTGTTTTTTTTTGTTTGCTCAGTTCTTTTTTCATGTCATAATTTTTCGCTCTTAAATTTGTTGAACTATTTAAATAACAACAATTTTTTTTCATATCCATTTCAGGTCAGTTGAAAGAGACAATATATTGTTCAATCGATTTGTTACATACGCGCGATAAGTAAAATCAAGTCAAAAGGACAGCTGATCAAAGTTTTTTTGTTACTTTGTACCAATTAAAAAAAAAAACAACAACAATAAAAAAACAACATTTGAAGTGAAATGTTGCGTCCGTCGGCTTTTCAAAACAATGGTAGTGCGGAGACGGCGTCATCATCCAAATCGATTCTCAGACCATCATCGTTTCAATTGGCACCGAGCACTTTATCAACGGCCAATAATTCCAATAACAAAAGTGAATGCAGCAATGAACCGAGCACTACTTCACACTCCGATTCGCCATTTGAATTGAAAGAGGAGAAACAAAGTACAAGCACATCGAATGAATCAACAAAAGAAGACGATTCAAAAATTTCAAGCACAACCAATAACGATGGTGATAACAATGGTGAAAACAGTGATGAAACAAAAGTGATACCAAATCCATTCAACAATAGTAAAGTAAAGGGTACCGAACACGATGAGGACGACGATGAAACCGATTCAGCATCAAAACCAAGCGATGACGATAAATCGAAGCAACAACCAACACAAGAGAAAAAACCGGATTTACTAGATGGTAGCAATTTATTTGCGGCGAATACGAAAAGTTTATTTGCGTCTGCCGCATCAAAATCACCATTTTTAGCCGCAAACAATGGTAGCGAAAGTAGTTTTGTATTTGGCCAAAATATTCATGAGCGTATTGTTGGTGTGCCCGACACCAGTGTATCGAGTGCATCATCAAGTGCGGACGATAATCACAGTGATTCGTCCAGTGGTTCAAAATTATTTGCTGTGAGCAGTGCATCAACAAGCGAAGCAACATCGGCTGGCGGTGGAAGTGGCGGTACCGGTGGTGGTGGCGGTTCAACAAATGGTGCCGAACCAAAAGAAAGTAGCACCGTTGAAGATTTAACAAAAGTGGCACGAGAATATGAGGAGAGTCGTGCACAAAAACGTAAATTGGATGCGGTTGAAACATTTACGGGCGAAGAGGATGAAGTGAATGTGGTTGACATGAGCTCTAGACTATTTGCATTTGTTGCATCGAATTATGAACAACGTGGACCAGGTAGTTTACGTTTGAATGATGTAAAAACAGATGATGCCAGATCACGTGTTGTGTTTCGTACGTTGGGCAATTTTCGTGTATTGCTCAATACAAAGGTGTGGGGCGGAATGATTGTTGAGAAACCGAGTCAAAAAAGTCTGCGATTTACGGCCATCGATTCAAATGATGGTGCGGTGAAGATATATCTAGTGATGGCACGACCCGATGATATAAACACATTATATTCGGCGCTCAAGAAACGAATTGAAATCGAACGAAAACGCGAAAAAACCGAAGAATCAACATCAGCATCATCATCATCTGCGAATGACGAGGCAAACACGTCAAAAGATAGCCATCACGAAACCGACGAACAACCAGATGCGAAAAAAGATCGAAAATCTTAATTCCATTCAACTATATATTTCTACGCTGCACCGCATTTTAATTCAAATGATAAAAAAAAAAACACTTGAAAATCATACTATGTTATTATACACGTTGACCACTGATGTCAACGCAAGATACAATGTATCGATGAATAGTAATAATAATTCGTCAACAACAACAAAAACAAAAGAGCATTGCAAACAAAAGAAGTCCGAAAAATATTCGACCATCAAATGGGTCAATTTGCTAGAGCGATTTTTTCGAACTTCTTTATCTAAATTCTACCCAGTGATGAATAAAATCCATTTTAAAATGATACTATTTAAATTCTGAATAAATTTCAGTGTGTTGTAAGTTGTTGATGAAAGCATCGCTTTTTCAAACTTACCGCCATTCTCAATTTGAACAATCGCACCATTTATGAAGACACAAATAAAACAAAATAAAAAAAAAGTCAATTCATAAATAAAGAAAATTCAATATTCCAAGCTATTTATCATGATGACATGTGATTAGCTTTTTTCTTTTCTCTCAGCAAACCATAATAATAGTAATTATAATTGAATCCCATTCTTTAAAATATTTGTACAATTTTTACAATAAACAATTTTCATCAAATTTAAACAATAAATTTAAACCGAAGAAGTTGTTCTCATGAAAAATTGCTTGTGGCCACCTATTGTGTCAGATTACCTTGTAAGCAATTGCTAAAAGAAAAGTAAAACAAATTTGTGGCATTGATTAAAGCAATAAAGTACAGTGTACAATATTATATGCAAAAAAATCCATAAGAGAAACCACACGAACATTACAATAAAACTATTCAATTTTTTTTTAGCATGAAAATGGTGTTTCGATTATATTATTTGTTTACATGTTCATTCATTGTGTCGTAGAAAAATATATATCCGCCCATTGGAAGAATGTTCTAGTCTTGTTCAAAGTAAATGTCAAACAATTCAGGTTTGCATAATTGGTCTCCTTCTAAGCGTTTTGCCTTTTCCTTCCAGTTGATCAATGTCGGAATGACGCTCAAATGAGTATTACGATCCAAGCGAAACGGGTTCTTAATATCCTTCCACCTGAATACAATGTACAAAAAAAGTTGAAAAACAGCTCTGATACGTCACAATCGGCATATATACTTACGTTGTGCGATCTCCGACATCAACAACAACGAACAGACTATTTGGCTCTGCATTTTCAATGCAATGCTTATTGACGTATGGCTCGGCTGCAATAATTTCACCCCATCAGATTAGATATAATTTGAAAGACAAAAGAGTTAGCTTACCATCAACACAATCGGGACACCAAGAACGACCGCTCTCGTCTTTTTTTCCCGTAAATAGTATGTTTACATTGTCAGCCGATGCAGCTAATTTTTCAATTGATGCAATAAATTCATCATATCCAGAAATTTTCTCAACTTTAGCCATTTCGAAACTAAAAAAAAAATGTCGACAATATTAATCACGTATTCCTTATCAGCAATGCTGCTTGTAAATTCACTTTGGCTATTGTTTTCAAACGAAAAAAAAAAATGATGTGACGACAATAAATGTCAAAGACTGTGTTTGTCTTCATCAACGACAACTGGTGTTATTTTTATTAACTAGGTCGCTGTGAGAGTGATTGTGAATGAATGAGTTTGAGCTCTCCTGTTTAATTTAAATTGCTCTATGGCTGGAACAAAATAGAAAATAATTGAGAACAATGCTCAAGAGTGCAATTAAAATTCTAATAACATTCTTGAGATGAAATAAAATGACACAACATTTACTATGTATTTTTATTTTTATTTGTTTCTTTCTATACATTTAATGCATTTCATGATAGCGATAGGATAAAGTTTTAGCTACACTCATTTGTTTAGCATCATCCTGTGCTGGCTCGTCAACATTCATGTCCCTCCTCAATTTGTTTGTATTTAATTTCAATATTAGTTTATGCACTAGATTTACTTAAATTCATTACCATTTGAATAATGTTGATTTCTTTTATCATCGTCATCGTCATGTTCTTCTTCTTCATTTTTCCCCTCTTCATTCCTGTACATTTCACAATATAAATGTACCATTAAATAGATGAATGTTTGGCTATAATTTTTTTTGTGTCATGTGTGTGTGTTTTGTTTTCCTTTTAATTTCATTATTTTTTATAATTTTTTTTGCATGTTAAATAATAATTCCTCAAATTTTAACTCTCTTCATTAAATTTCATAATAATTTATGTTGGTTTTTTTATTGTTGCTTTTGTTTCTTTGAAGAACACCAATGAAATAGTAATTTAATTTTATTTATTTATTTATTTTTGTTGCGAAATTTCACGAATGGTGTTTAGTACTTGTTTTGTATGATGTTTGCTTGTTTTTTTTTTGTTATTTATTGTTTTGTCATATAAATATTGTGAAAGTCTACAATCTAAATGAATTCATTAATATCAGATGATGCGAATATTTTTGATGTTGTTTGTATTTTTTTTTTCGTTATGTTGAAATTGCGACGATGTTCAAAGAGAATTTCCGTTTAGCATTTGAAGTTTTGCATAGTATTTCCTCATTTCTTTTGTTACATTTATTTTTAATTCTTCATAACTGTGTAGTTCTATCTCTATGCCATTTTTGTGTGTTTCATTCAATAATTCATTCATTCTTTTTGTATTTGATCGCAAGTGGATTGTTTCATGTTATCAATTATTATAAAAGTTTAATTAAATTCACGTATAATGTAGTATTGTTTCATTGCATTTTAAATATGAAATGTTCACAAAAAAAAGGAATTTTCATAATAAAATAGCTACGATTAAAAAAATATGTATACCATATGAATAATGATGAACGACTGTTGCACAATTTGATTCTAAAAAAAAAAAAACAATTTTCTTATTATTCAATTGCCTTTCAAACAATAGATGTTTGCACAGTTGGCCATAGATGGCCACAAGATTCTAGACGCAATAATTTCATTCCATTTTCTTCTTCTTTATAATAATAGTAGTAATAATAATAATATTTATATCCACAGAATTTATATATTCAGAACAGAATCAGGGCAGAATGATGAAGTCAATAGAAAACGATTTGAATTCCTACTTCGTCCTGTTAGTTTTCTTCATATTATTTTGCTTACAATTTTTCTCTCTTTCATTCGCTTTTTTTCTTTTTCTCTTTTTTTTCACTCGATATTGTTGTCTGCTGATTCGGTCACTTGCTTCCCTTGCACACTTGCACCGTGTCTCTTCATGTGTCACTCACAAATATTTTATCTATATTTCTCAATCGCACGTCTCTTAGATAAATACTTTTGCTAAAGCATCAGCACCGGCACTGGCAATGTACGGACGTGATGGATGAAATGCAACATCGAAAATGCTTTCATCGAATTTCTTTCGATGGGCGGTTATCTCTTGTACACATGTTTTATTATCAAAATTCCATAGTCGTATTGAACAATCATGTGATCCCGATAATAAATAGAGTCCATGGGCATCAATAGCCAAACTAGTAACTGGTTCTAAGTGAGCAACCATTGAATGTAACATCGAACCATTTGTATTGTCCCAAAAACGAATGTGATGATCTTCATGTGCTGTTATTGTAACGGGAAGTGTTGGATGACATACCACTTTATTTATGAATTTTCCACCATTCCCGTTTGCCTCTTGTGTGGTATCCAATTTGACTACGGACTTACCACTTTCGGTGTCATAAATAATGCATGCACCCGTATCATATGCAACAACTATTCGATCCGGTTCGTCACGCACAAAATCTATTGATGTTGGTGTGCCACTGTCAATATCGCCGGTGATTGTGTTTAGTAATGTTTTAGGTGACCAGATTTTAACGGTGCCATCGGCAGAACATGATGCCAAATGTCCTTTTTCTGGATTCACCGACAATCCCCAAACGGCATCGGTGTGACTGGTGAGCGTTGAATGCAATACCGATTCGTCATAGCTATCGTATGGATCAATATTTGCACCGGGTATATTCCAACAAATGATTGTACCATCCAAACCGCCTGAAAAACATTGTTCACCATTCGTTGACATTGCCAAACATAAAACGGGCGATGTATGCGCACGGAACGTATACAATGGTTCAACATCTAAGCCAGTTGTTTTCTTGGTGGGTGCCGTTTTATGTAAATTCCACAATTTTAATGTATGATCTTCCGAGGCAGTCACTAAAACTGAATCTTGTGGATGAAACACTAGTGCACGTACACCATCAAAATGTGATCGTAACGTGTATTTGGCATTCCATGTTTTTCTATAATTTGCATCTTTTGCATTGCCAACATCGTATGCTGCTTCAGCATCATTGTTCACGGTCAATTGGGCAAGCTCACCCAAACCAAGCGATGCATCGATATCATCGTCCTTAACACCTTCCAATGATCGTCTCACAACAATCGAAAATGCTTTGCCCGGTGCATTTGAACTAGTGTCATCCGCTTCGCTGAGTGAATTTAATTCGTTCACAACTTCTTCGGCTTCTGCATCAACATCTATGTATACAAAATAGAAAAAAAAACACATTAAGATTTCGAATTAGGTCAATATTTGCGGTGTGCACCGGTGTGACATCAAGTGACACATATTTCAATTACCGTCATGCATTGTTATTCCTTTGGCTTTACGTTTAGTGGTTTTGACATCGCTTTCATCGCCTACAACCATATCCAAATCGTCCGAAATCCCATCATCATCTGACATTTCAACGTCGGCATTGCCCAAAAATTCAAAATTTGCCATGACGGCCGCTTCTGAATCGAGTATCATTGCTTCTGCCATTGAGGCCTGCTGTGGTTTTTTCGCTGGCGTTCGTCGACCTTGCGAGTCACTAGCACGCTTAGTACCTTCGTTTGCAATTACATTTGGATTTATGTTTTCCTCTTGCTCGGAACCATTTGTCAGCCCCAACAATGAACGAACACGAGTCGAACGCACATCAATGATGGTATCAGTGTATCCAATCTCTTGTAAATATGAACGTAATAGCTGCCGGCCTTGTCGCCATGTTACATTTGACACTGAACTGAATGGTGCTTCGGAATCGGGTGCAACTTCATTTGTGATGTTCGGCTCATCACCGGTCGGTGCGCTAACTTCATTAATTGACGGTGGATCGCAACCATATTTCATACGATGAGATTTTGCACGCTCCTGTACCAATGCATATTCTAACATTTTAATGCGACGAATTAAATCGGATTTAAGTGATTCTTGTCCCTTGCGTTCGCCCAATAATACGGCTATTTTTGCTTGTAATTCCGCCCGGTCCACATCCCATTGCGATCGTTCAATTTCGAATCGTGAAAATTCGTGCTGAATGAAATGCAACACACCCGGAATGGTGTAAATTTGCTCATGGGAATTGGCGTTATTTGAACCATCGTTTTGCTTATTCAATCCAATCGAATTGCCACCGGTTCCACCTAATTGTGATGATGAATTCGTAACGCCGCCCAATTGTGCTGAGCTATCATCCATATTTACTACAATTTTACACTATATTGTCGTCGTCTCCGAACCGTGCAGCCAGCCGATAGGTAATATTTCAATTTCACTCACGCACAAATCGCGTCGTCTCTCTCTCTCTCTCTCTCTCTTTCTTTCGCTATCTCGCTCTTGAGTTGTGTTGAATTTTGTTTTTGTTTTAATTAAAAAAGAAATAAATTCCGATAAAATATTGTTGGACAGCTCACATTAATACAAAATATAATTGCTTCGACTGTGTATTCGAATGATTTTTGAAATAGGCATTTAACTCAAAATAATGCATTCGTTGTGATTTATATGTTGTGCTTTTTTGTTGTTGCTTGTTTGCTGGCTCGGGGTCCACCACAGATGCAATTTTGACAACTACGCTCAATTCGTACTACACAACACAATTGACTTGGTAAACAAGTATTTATCGTGATTATTTCATGTAATCAAATGTCCAATCGATAAAAAATGTACTAATTTGCTGATGTTTGTCGATGTCAAACGAAAATATTAAAAACAACACACGATGAGAACCACACCTAAACTGAAACAATACTTTCTCTTCACTGCTTTCAACCAAAATGGTGAAGAAAAAAATAACACACAAGATACGATGGTTTCAGTGCCAATGAAAGTCAGCGTATAGCAATCCAATCAGTCAGATTCATGAACGAACAAAAAAAAATGGTATATCGCACTGGACGTCTCTTTGTCCGCATTTAGCAATTTACAGCAATTTTTTCGCAATCCACCATAAGTGAAATGCGCTCGTGAGTTGTTTTTCTTTATGACAACACAATTTTTTACGTTTCAATCGAGTTTTTTCTGTGATTACGATTACAAATAATACACTCAATGACCAATTCTTGTCTTTGTTATTTTTCTCTCTTTCAGAATGACTGAATCCTTTGCGGAGCAGACATTTTTTTGACTAACTCACACACAAAAAAAAATCAAGATGGCCACTTTTTTCGTGTATAGAGTTTGATTCGTGACCTGTTAAAGACACTCGCGGAATTCGGAATCAATATATTCAATGCCTTGAACTGTCAAAGTCTTTAAGTTTTAAATGTCACTATACTGTGTGTAATACATACACAGTTTATGTGTGTAACGCATTGAACTCCATTCTCTTTCATACACATAGCGAATCAAAATGTTTTCGCTGGCGTGCAAACAATTTACAAATATAAATCAATTGCAAAAAATTATTGCATCAAATTCAATTGTTGCAATTCGAAATTGTTCGGTCGTTGACAATTCATCAAAGGAAAATATTGAACAAAAAGGTAATTGTGCTATTTATTTCAAAATCAAATGATTGAGGTTAGGTTCCTTTTTTCACTGTTTTCACAAATCTAATCATTATAACATTTTTTTTAAATATTTATTCTCATTTTTTTTTCGCAACAGAATTTCGTGTGTTGGACTTAAATCCAAAGAAAGATGCCGAACTTATACGTAAACGACGGGTAGTTAGCTACAATGTTCCTGATCATCGGTGAGTATTCCATTCGGATCAAATGTTCAATAAGTGATTGTTGCTGAATATTTTTATGCTATGATTTCAGTTTTAAAAAGATGAGTGTACGACAAAAATGGGGAAATGTATGGCCCGGACCGAAAACATTTCATCCATCTGTTGTACCGCTTCCATTGCGACAAGGATTTGTATACAATACGAAAAAAAATTCGCCACCGCAAAAATTTGGCAACGCTGAACTCATGAAAATACCGAATTTTTTGCATTTAACACCGCCGGTTATCAAGCAACAATGCGAAGCGATCAAAAAATACTGCACACCATGGCCGGCCGGATTGGAAACCGATGAAAAATGTGACAAACACTTTCCAATCGAATTCATTTCGACCGACTATTGCCATGGTTTGCCAACAATTCGGAATCCGTTGTCACGTATCATCTCACTTCGGGTAAGTTTCGATTTATATTGTCGTCAATTTCTTGTTCGTTCTACAAATTACTTCGAATCTTTCATTCTAGTTTAAATTGTCGGCGTTACCGTTTGACGAACATGCTCGGGATAAGTTTCTTCGGTTAGTTCTCAAGCTGTTTAACTTTTTTCGCTTCTTTTTAACGATACAATGATGTTTTCCTTTCACATTAGGTTAGTTGAAAATAGATACAATCCAGAAACAGATCTTGTTACCATAACCGTTGATCGTTGCCCGGTGCGAAAGCAGAATTTCGAATATGCACAGTATCTGTTGACCGCTTTGTTCCATGAATCGTTCATTGTTGAACCATGGGAATCATTGAAAATTGAGGTCGATATGGAGTATTATGATTGGCAAAAGAACAAATCCAAAGAATCAATCGAAGCAATATTGAGATGGGGCAAAACAAAAGACGAACCAATCAAATCAACCGATGCTTATGCAAAGAGCGTAGAAAAGATTTTCAATGAAGGCGAAAATCAACAAAACCTACAACAATACAAAGAAGAGGTGCTAAAGCTTTTAGAACTTAAAAATTAGAAATAAATATTTTCAAAAAAAAATGTCGCTTGTTTCATGAATAAACATTTGAATAACGAATTGAGACATTTGTGATTTTGACATTTGAGTAAAACATAACCTCAAATCAGAACAGTTGTTTGTTTTGTATCAAACGTCAACAATTGAAAACGCTTGAAAAGGGGGCTTTCTCTATAAAACCACAGATAATGTCGAATTTGGAGCTGAAACAAAGTGTGGATTGCAAACAAGGATCACTTAGAGCGGTTCGATATAATGGTAAGGTTTTGTGCCTGAAAAATGAAAATAATTTCGAGACACGATGTTCAAACGTTTGCATTTGTATTTCGTTAGTTGATGGTTCGTACGCAATCACATCTGGATCGGATAAAAAGGTTAAATTATGGAATCCACAAACAGGACTGTTGTTGAAAACATACGGTGGTCACGCCGACCAAGTTACCGAAGCAATCGGATCTTGTGATAGTTGTCACATATTGAGCGGTTCATTGGACAGATCGATTATATACTGGGATGTAACGACAGCACAACCATTACGTCGTTTGCGCTGTCACGCTGGTGGGGTTTCTTGCATTGCATTTAGTGAAGACTCAAATGGTAACCTATTTTTTTTTTTTTGTCAAAACGACATTCAACCATTTCTTTTGCATTTATTTTTCTACAGTCGCAGTTTCTGGTGCCAAAGATAATTTGGTGATGTGTTGGGACATTCGTACACGAAAACTCGAACCAATTCAAACGATGAACGAAGCAAAAGACTGCATTACTAGAATAATTGTAAATGAATTTGAGATTGTGGTTTCATCGCTAGACGGATGCGTCAGACGGTATGATTTGCGAAAAGGTGAAATGACTTGTGATGATGTCGGTGAATCAATCGTCTATATGGCACAAACAAAAGACACAAAATGCACCCTGGTTGCATGCAACGACAATGTATTAAGACTGTTAGACAATGATAATGCTGATATACTATCTACATATCATGGACATCGAACCGATGACTTTCAAGTTGAATGCGGCATTCTAAGCAATGATTCACAAATTGTATGCGGTTCAGCGAACGGAGAAGCATTCATTTGGGATCTGGTAGATGAAAAAGTGATATCGAGACTATCAATAGGTATGAACTGATGCACATATGGAAAGAGAATGAATAAAAGACTAAAATTGACGATTTATTTGTAGGTAGCGGCGTAGTGCATTCACTGAGCACACATCCAACCACCGATGACATTTTATTTGCAAACAAAAGAAATTTTCAATTATGGACACCGAATAGTTAGATTCATTTATTTCGAATTTTCTAAAGAGTTACAATTCACACATTGACGGTCGAGATTTGAGAATGCATCTTAAAATTTACGAGTCGGATTAATAACGTAGATTTCGCCTTTATATAGACTTTTGAGAGTCTTATGCACGTTCCAATCGTTAACCACATGAAGAATTTGTTTAATACTGGATTGATTCGGATTCATTCCTAGTTCCCTGCAAAGTTTCGCATTGAAAGTGTTTCTGTAAATAAAGTCAAACACATTTATCATTACCTATTTTAATAAATATGATGTTTTTTTTTGTTTTCTTCTGTTCACTATTGAATTTGGTTAATTTTAGCGGAAAAAGACGATTCCATTAAATATAAACATTGTGAATAATTCAAAGGTACTCACTCGTTTGGTTGCTCCCAAAAATGTATCTCGTCATAAGAATCGGCCACCTTGAATGAAGGACAAATAATAATTTATCTACTCCCAATCATTACTGCACATCAATTAATGAAACTTTCTTTACCTTTAGTGAAGCACTGATAATTTTACGTGCATTTATGAAATTGCTTTCAAACGACATTGTGCGACTGTTTTCAGAAAAAGAACAAAGAAGAATATCACTTTTATTAGCACGGTTTTTTTCTAATTCTGAAGAAGGTAAGCAGTAAATATGCCTTGCCAAAAATTGTACGATGACAAAAACTATCTTGGCCAAATCTAGAGCCAAATGCCGCTTATACAACTAGTATTTAATTCGATGCGTTCTATTTTTGATGTAATTGTGCTCAACTCATGTCGATTTGATCAAAAGAACATTCAATCCATTCTTTCTCATTAAACTAAATGTCAAAGTTCATTTTCTGTAATATTACTTACCTTTGATCGTGTTTCCACTTAAAATGTTCTTACTTTCAGATGAAATAGATATTTTTTTCTCGTAATTTTCCCTTCAATTGTACTGATTTTCCTCTCGGCTCACTTGATACTTGCCTGAAGTATTAATTTGCTACTATTATTCTTTGATGTCAAAACTTCGTCAGTTGCGCTTTGATTTCACTGAACTGAAGTCATCAAATTCTTGTAGTCTTAAGTATACAATTCTGTTACTTGATTACAAAATTCGATTTGTTTGTTTCTTCTCTTGGTTTATCTAATGAAAGTAAACAGATGTGACGAGCGCAGCGATTGATTTTAAGCGATCAGATATAGTTCTTTATTATTTTTAGTCGATTTCCTTTTTGCGAATCAGATTATGATACGGTTTTAATGACAAAGTGAGCGAATACACAAAAAACTTAAAATGACATTGAGCAAATGTCGATTTTTGTTGCAGTAAATCAAACGGTACGTTGTGAGTATGAACGTGAGTATCGCATCGATTAACGTAAACAAAACAGATGTTTGTGATTTATATCTTAACATTATCTATGCGATCTCTAGTTTGTAAATATGACATTAGTTTGGAAATATGGTGTCTTTTATGTGTTTCAAGCCTTAACATTGACAATAAATAAAATAATAATAATAAAATATTAAAAACAACCAAATAACATTCACATCATAACAATCTATAAAAGAGTTCTAGGGCATGTTTATTGTAATGGTGAATTTCAAAAATAAAATAATTTAAATCAAATCTCATTATTCTTATTATTTTTGTATTCAGTGCAGTTCACTCAGTTTTTATGTTCTTTATTGTTGTTGTGATACGCCAAACCCAACAATTTTACAATCAAAATATCGAGTCTAGAGTAATTGGCATGCTGATTCTGTGTTTCGAGGTTTCGGTTGAAAAAAATCATGGGTGAAGGAGTTATGATCCCCAAACCCCTGGGGGGTGGGAGGATTTGGAGGGCAGGGGTCATAAAAAATTTTTCTAGTCATTCTGAACAACTTTGTAGTACATTATTTTTTGATCCGACCAAATTTTGACATGGTGAAGTACTCCCCTGCCCTTACTACCCCGATTGGGCATTCCCTATTTTCACAAACTTATTTTTTCGGCACTTTACATCGATCTGTATATTATTAGTATACGGTGTATCAATCTGTCTAAAATTTACACGTCCAATGATTAAATACACTTGCTGCCAAAAGGCCAATTACATTTTCTAAAAGCTAATACATTTGAATCGTTGCGGCGAAAGAGTAGCTCTTATTTTGTGTGAAAAAAACTTCATGTTGCAGTATTATTTGGAGAAAAATAAGAGCTACTGTTTCGCCGCAACGATTCATTTGATGTTAAAAAAGTAGCGAACATTGTAATTAAAATTAATAGTTTGGTTGAATCTATATAAATAATTAAATAAATTATATACGGCATACATCTGCACCGAATAATACGTATTTTATACTGACATTGTACACACAGAGAATCGAAGAAATACCGCACAAAAGAGCAGTGTTTCGAGTAGATTAAAAATCTTGAGATTTTTTAGATAGATTTCTAGATAGATCAAATCTAAATCTGATCTTAGATCAATAGAAAAAAGGTATAATAAATCTAATCTATCGGGATCTGGATACAAAAATCTGTATCTAACGAGAGATATCTAAGATTTACAAGCTTAACACTCAAAAGCATTCTTTTCTGATTCGGGCCGAATATGACGTTAGTTTTAAGATGAAATCAATTTTTCACAGACTTTTTCATACAAAAATTCACAAAAAAAATATTTTTGTATAGGAGTCATGCCTTGTGGTAGCGTAATGACATGAAACTTTACACAGGTTGTTTTTTCCACAAGAAAATTACATTCTGAGAGTTTAAAGAAATTTCAATGCATATTAGGGATACCTCCCATACAAAATTTTCGGTTAGCCATATATTGAGCTATATTTTTGATTGAAATTTCTTTAAACTTTGTGAGATTATTTATATTGATAAGAAAATAATATTCACAAGTTTTCACGGCGATTTGAGTTGCTGCAACCAAACATAGACCATAATTTCAGTGTATTCCCAAATTTTTGGTTCCATGGGACGTTACACGCTATATTAATATAGTCTAATAAAGTCAAATAAATCAACTTAAAATGACTTCGATCTCAGTCGGTTTAATGTGAAAACGTCCCAAAAAAAGCCAGTCAGTAATTTTCCACAAGGGCTGTTTACCTGTTTACCCAAGTCCCATTTGGACTTAAATTTAAAAGTATATTTCAGATCAGATATGAGATTAATCTAGATTTATCTCGATCTGAGATAAATATAAAAGCTTAGATACACAGAGATCAAAAATCTAAGATTTTGATCTCAAATCTGATCTAGATAAAAAAAATGATCTAAAAAAAACACTGCAAAAGAGAATGAAAAAATATGCCATACAAGAAATGCGAAATATACGCCAAATATGTGCAGTTATAAGCCCCTAGATATTATCAGGTAAAATTTTATTATTATTTCTGCCATTTTCGAGATGTTCATTTCCTCAGCCTTTAGGTCCGTGGATGGATTTGGTTCAAATGTGTGATGTAGAGGTTTGAAGGGTAGTACTTCTCAAAAATAATATCAGTTTGTGACACCTTTCATTCAAAAAGTCCGGTCGTTTTCGATCAGCCGTGTACTTGTGACTTACAAATTAGCTTAATTGTTTCAGTGGAAAATCTGCTTCAACATCCAATGTTAAAAATACTGCCTTTTCTTCGAACAAACGTGCAAATTCTGCTGACGATGGAATTATATCTAAAATGTTCTTCAATTTAGATGGTGGAGGCAACTTAACCATCATATTTCTACGTTTAACCGGCTTGGTAACAGCTACTGATGTAGTGTCGCGGCAGCCACCTTTCTTTTTCAGTTCATATTCGATTTCTGCTTGTTTGTTTCTTAGTTTTATCCTAAATGTATTCAACGATCTGAGTATGATTCCGTCATTGCCAAGTAGTTCTATTGCTTCTTTCATTTGCTCCTTAAGACTAGCATCGGAAATTGTTTCTTCCTGACCGCTCCCATCACTATCACTATGTCCACTACTATTTACCATTCTTTTCTCTTCCGATTTCCCAACCACCATGAGTCCCTGTATATTAATATTGGCGAGAAAAAAGTCGCACAATAATGCGCCATCTGATGACATGGTTATCAATGTATGTAACTACAAAGACGGAATTATTGGATGGTGTGCCAGACATTAGGTTTGAGCTATGGATATAGCGGCTGCTATTTCATAGCCGCTATTCATAGGCGCTATTTATCTCGTCTTGATGCATATTGTGCGTTATTTTCTACATCTCTCTCGTACTCACATTCAAATGTACAAAAGGATAGTAGGCTATGATATTCCTACTCGGTGTTACACACAGCTCACGAATTAAATAGCGCCTATGAATAGCACCTATAAAATAGCAGCCGCTATCAGCCGGTGTATATTTGTATGAGATTGGAGACTTTTTTTTGCGAATCTCGCTAATGAGCGCCATCTGATTTTAGTGTGAATTAGATGCAAAAACTGAATTTAATTCTGTAGCATTGAAATGAAAAAGAGAAAAAACAACAACAATAGCACGGCCACACAGAGCTGTACATCTATGCGTGCTGATGCATACATACACATATACGCTTTCTTCATTCTTTCATTCCATTGCTATACGTATCTCACTGGTCAACAGATCTATGTAGCCATGTTACTGTTGTTGTTTTTTTTCTCTTTTTCGATTCAATTCATTGTAACTAAATTGAGTTCAACTATGGAATACAAGATGGCACAGATGAGGGGAATTCGCATTTTGTCTCTTCATAGGCTTAGCCGGTTGGCCGCTATATGCATAGCTCGAGAGCCCAATGTCTGATGGTGTCTTGACAAAATTTTCATATCGGTTGTTTTCAGCCACAATTCGCACACGTCACCAGATGGCGTTCGTATTTGACATCTCTCAGTCATCATGACAATTGGTTGCAATTTCCACAAATTAGTATTTTCCAATGCACAATCTGTTTATAATTTTGATGTTCAAATGCAACTTAAATTTGATATTATTTATCAAAAATATGTTTAGCACGAGTTGTTTGTTCAGTGTATGTTTGTGTGTATGTGTAATATGTCACACGAGACATTGACATTTCAAAAACCTTATAACAGAGAAATTCACATAAATGTTTGTCTGTGAGAGAATATTTTTCTTTTGCAAAACTCTGCGTCTTTTGCCTATAATTCATAAATAAAATAATTTTACTTTTTGGGGACTAAACGAATAGGATTTTAATAGCTGCTTTATTTTCGGCACAACAACATAAACAGAGACGAAGGGCCTCACTCATCATCTCCTTTCAAGATTATTCACTAAGCATGCATATCATTATCTGTCTTACTCTAACCAATTATGATCATACAGTGTGTACAAACTGTAAATTCATCACCTCTAATAATTCACCGGCCATCGCCTTTCGTTAAAATTCTACAGCTGATGATGACGCATTGAGCGTCGAAACAATTGTTCTGTAAAAATAAAATAAATCCAAATTAAAGTACACCAATTCGGTCTTTTTTCTTCTTATTTTGAATAAATATTGATGAAAAAAGACCGAATTGGTGTACTTTAATTTGAATAATTTTTTACGGTCGAAACATTAAATAAAGAAAATAAATATTTATAAGACAAAAAAGTGTTTTTAATGAACTGACGCATTCCTATTAATTCATAAATGATCGTATGAAAGAGGTAATTCTGTGTTTTTGTTTCTTTCATTTGCGTAAATTTGATTGTAAAATTGTTGGAACATAAAACGGAGTGAACTTATTGCGTTTTGGCAAGATAAATAAATTTAAAAAACAACAACGAAATGATTAACATAAAGACGAAGTTTCAATTTAAATTTGGCGATTAAACGCATCCATTTAGTTACAAATATGCGAGCGCATTCATTTGGTTCTGACGTTTCAAGCAATGACGATACCAATGGTTTTGTTTATTTTGCTCTCATCAACATCTGTCCATAATGAGGGAATACGGTGTATTTTGTGTTCAAAATTCGAGTGGAAAATTCTAAATAATTTATTGATGGCATAAATTGAAGTGTGAACCGAATTGAATTGAATTAATTTTGAATTCAAGTGAATTGAGACATTTTTAAATTCAAAAGACATTCCATAAATAAGAAATTTTTGCTTAGCATAGAGATTTACAAGAAAAAAACACATACTACGTATTTAGTATTTACAGTGTCTATCCTTTTTCTGCTTCCTACATCCTTCTCACTTGCGCAACCGTCAATATTTACATACTGTTGGCACGACATATTTGACTTTGTACCACTACTACCATCATATCGTGTATGTTCGCGAATATTGCGCGCATCGGCATAACAATTGAAACGCACATACCAAACACACACACACGTACATACACAACAACACACACAAATACATAGACACATGGTCAAAACGTGTTCGGATACGGCATTTAGAAAAGGAAACAATAAATTATACGCAGTTAAATTCAGCAGGCAATAACATCATCATCATCGTCATCACCACCAATCGCATCGGCACGCAATTTCAAACGACGGATGTGCTTCTCGTGTGTACGCGTTGTTGTTGTTGTTATCATTTTTCTCTGTTGTGATTCATTTCGCAAGCGTGCTATGTTAATGTAGTTGAACAAACAAAAGCATACACATACGCATCATCATTCTCGATGCAGAGCATAAAAACATTCTTCTAAATGCGTCATACAGGTGCAAGTTGAATACAAAACGCAACACACGCACACGCACACACATCGCGAGCAACAGAGATATAAGCAAGGATACTAGTAATAATAAGACGTGTAAAAAACGAAGAAGAAACTAAAAAACAAGAGAATTGCCACCGAGTACCATTCGTACAGACTTTGGAAAATTAAAGGCAATCGAGAAAGGCGAAACTTAAAACAAAAGGAATCGCCAACAACACAAGAACACGAATACGAATGGGAAGAAGAAGAAACGAAGCAAAGAAATAAGAGAAGTAAACGTAAGCATATACACAAAAATAAAAATAAATAAATAAAATTGCATAAAACAACGACCAATAACAAGGAAAACCAGAAGGCACACGAACGATCACAAATTCATACATATAGAGAGTGACGAAAGAGCAACAGAGCAAAATTGCAACGATTAATGGCAATGGCGAAAAAAGTGCAGCACACTAAATAAACGCGAATCAAATGAAAAACATACACAACAAAACGCAAGCAAGCGACCAAGCAAGAGGCGAACAAGAAGAAGCGCAGTGGCATTTCTTCGAGTGCATCAATAAGTGAACTGCATTTCGATACGTTCAATTGAAGTGGTCGGTTGTTTGAAACGTTCGTGAAGTTTGCGCGCTAAAAAAGAAGATTCGTTCGTAAAAAGGAAGAAAAAAGAATTTAATAATCAAGAAATAATGTCGGCCTCAACATCAACATCATCATATCTTCAAGCAGTTGCATCTCGTTCACCAACACCATTTGTTTGCGACGATGAAATTGTCAAACTATTTCCATTAAAAAGTATATCGGATGTAGTGCGTTTGTTTAAAGTGCATTTAGAATCGGTGAAAGAGCCAGATTTGACATTGTTGTCCATTGTTACGGGCATCATTGAAAATACGTTGACAGGCAAGTGCAATGCAAACTCACTCCAATCAAACGCTGACACAGCTGCATTGAATAATAATAATGCAGAACCAACAAATAACAACAGCACCGTCGACACTTTGACCGAAACCAAGGTCAAAGTGGAGGAGTCAAACAATTCAACCATTGACATATCAAATGCAACGAGTTGCAGCAATTTTCCTGTTGTCACATTTGATACGGTTAAAATGTTATACGAAAAATTCATAAAAATTATATCATTGATCGGACCATGCAAACGTATCGGTGTTAAAGAGGCAAAAAAATCCAGCCGCTCAAATGCAACACCTGTCTATGCAACAAGAGATATTATTAAACAAGTTTCGGATGTTATATGGAATTCATTAATTCGAAGCACATACAAGGATCGTGCACATTTACAAAGTTTATACAGCTATTTGGCGGAAAATAAATTGGATTGTTTTGGTGTGGCGTTTGCTGTTGTAGCCGGCTGTCAACAACTTGGCTATGACGATGCGCATTTGGCCATTTCAGAGGATCATGCTTGGGTGATTTTTGGTAAAACTGGCGAAGAAACCATTGAAGTTACCTGGCATGGAAAAGGTGAATATTTTCTATCATTTTTTTTTTTTCATTCTCTTGCTTCCTTATACATTGTTTTTTGAATTTTTTACTTTTTACATTCGAATATTTATGACTTAATTTGCATTTGACAGGTGCTGAGGATAAGCGTGGTCAGTCGGTGACGACTGGTTATGAATCTCATGCGTGGCTCTATTTATCTGGTCATCCGGTTGTTTGTGATCGATTTATCGAGGTTGGTGCTATAATTTCATCGATAAATCCCAGTCTGTCAATGACGAGCGCGTGTTTGGAAGTGGCCGAATTACAACAACAATTGCTTTGGCTACTTTACGACATGAACCACCTGCAACGATATCCAATGGCTTTGGGCTGTTTAGGTACGACAAAAAAAAAACTCACATTTTCATTTGAACATTTTTGGTTCGTTTTTATTTTATATTCGGCAATAAATTAACATGATATTTTCATTATTTTATTTTTTTTATTGACGTAATCAGGCGAACTGGAAGAGGTGGCAGCCACAAAAGGACGTCCATCATGTTTGGAACTATACCAAACGGCTGTTGAATCAGCACAAATTAACTACAAAAATCATCATGTGTATCCGTACACATATCAAGGAGGCTATCATTACCGGCAAAAACAGTACAAAGAAGCATTTGCCGCTTGGGCAAATGCTGGCGATGTGATACGATTATTTATTTATTCACGTGATGATGAGGAAATCTACAAAGAATTTTTAGACATCGCAAATGAACTGATACCACACATCATGAAAATGGAGAGCTCAGGACATTCGGCAAAAAGTATACTCAGAGATCCGCATTGTTTTGCAAATTTGCTAAGGTAATGCATCAACACAACTCGGTCACAGTAATTTGTATTTAATGCATATTTGTTTCTTTTAGATTTTACGATGGAATTTGTTACTGGGAACAGGGAAGCTTAACGCCAATTCTGCACATTGGTTGGGTCAAACCATTGGTAACGACAATATCCCGTTTTGATGGTGAGATTCGATCTCAAGTGATAATTCATTGTGCAAAAGATGAAGACGATGTGAACGAAGCGAATGCTTCAATTCGATCTGAAAATAATAACAATGATGTTACTGTGGCGCCCAATCAAGAGGAGAAAAAGTTGAAAAACGGTGACGATACGAGTGATAAAACATCGGAAACAGTTCGCACCACGCTAGTCGAAGCACTGACAGCAGCATGCGGTGAAAAAATTTTAAATCCCGATTTTCTTCTACAGGGCGGTGGAAAACCATTTGCCGAATCACAAGTAAAATCTGAACGAAGTGATGAAAGTGAAAAACAACTTTTACTATTGGCGCAAACATCACCTCGACATGGTTGCGATGAGGCAGTGGCCGAAACGAATGACAAATCGAATGAAATGAAAGCGGAAACAAAGACCATTGACGACGAGAGTAAATTGACAATACCGCCATCGGGTCCAGTATTCAAGGAAACAGCTGAAAATGATATAATCATTCCAAAACGACCTGAAATCACGCTATACAGCCAGAAAATGAAAGGTCTTAAAGAACTATTACTGGCAGAAAAATTAAACCAGCATGCAATATCACTACAATTGACCGCACAGTCGCAAGTTCAAGTTGCCGGCAGAAAAAGTCGATCGATCGGTGCCATAAACTATGCAACAAGCACGAAACGAAGTCGACGCGAATAAAATAAAACAAATATTTTCTCAGAGAAAAAAAAACCACAACAACACATCTAATAACACCTATTTTCACACATTTTTTTTCTTTCTTCACCTTGAATTCAATTGATCTGAAAATTGCGCGAAACATTGTCAACAGATTGATTCTATTGCGCTTTCGCCAATCCGGAATGATCAAGAATAATAAAATCTGAAATGGAAAGCCTGTGATTAAAAAGAAAATAATATTTTTTTAATATCACGAAAAGAAAAATGCAAATTTTGTCTAAATCTATATATCACAAGCGTGGAGTCCGTGGAATTTTTTGTACTCAATACGTCGCGTGAGAAACATAATAATAACAACAACAAACAATAATTGGAAAGTAATGAATGGTTTTTGGGTTGGAAAATTGTGTGCGTTTATCGATGGCTAAATAGAATGTATATTTCTGTTATATTGTTGGCTTCTGATGCAGTCGTTAAAATAGATTAACGCTGCTTTTACGGATGAATTTGTTTATTTTTCGAGACCCGCAAAAAGAGTGCTATATTTATATGGGGATGGAATAAGTTATTGTTAAAAAAATGATTGAATGAGTTGATGAGGACGTGTTGAAAATGTTTTTTTTTAAATTTATCTAATTTATTTTTGATTTTCAGAACGAAATGACTAGACAGGGAAATGATTTTTTTTTCGGTTTTGATTTGTCAATTTTTTTTTTTTTTTTTTTTTTTGTGAAAAATTTTTTGTAAAAAAAAAAATTATTTTGTTTTTTTTTTTTTTTTCGAAATTAAGATATTTAAATTTTGACATAATAATTTAAAAAAAGTGCATATATTTCTTTTAAAAAAAAGAAAGATATTTTCGTATTGTTGACATTTGTTAAGCCCATACACAGTCGCGCATAAAATTCACTGTTAATTTATCTGCAATAAATGTCCTTTGTGTCGTGCAACCGTTTACTCAGAGATATAAAAAAACAAAACAAAACAAAAAAAAAACAGTTTCAATCAAAATAGATGTATCTTTAATTCTGTGCATGCATACATAGTACAATAGACGATCCTTTTTTTCCCTATTCAATAGACGGGTAAAATATCACATACACACACATTCACAAACAGGTTTTTAAATAAACAGTAAATTACAGTTTTTTCTTGCCATGTTAAAATTAATAATTAGTAATTATACACACCGAGTCGCAAATGAAACACGTTTAATCTCTTTCTCTGATTTTACATGTTTGATATATGTTTTAAATGATGACAAAGTGTAGAGTTTATGTGCAAATATTTATGAAACCATCAATTTAATCTGAATGTTAAACGCATACAATACAAACACACACAGAAAATAGCATATTAAAATAACAAAATATAATTTCACAAATACAAAAATTACTGAAGAAAATGAAATATATAGCAAACCACACAAAATCCTCCTCATCCAAATAACAAAAGAAAAGCATTAAACACATTTACTTCCCTGAATTTCCTATTTGAATATATATATTTATTTTAATTTATTTTGGAACTAACAAACTCCAAATAATTAAAAAAAAAAAACAATTTGCTTTGAGCAAAGATCAATTTTTGATTTTGATTCCATAATTTATTATCAAATTTAATTATTTTTTTTTAAACTTGCAATTAATTTTCAACTTTATGTTAAAATATATATTGTTTTATTGTTTTAAACAATCTGGCCTTTCTTTGTGATTTTTGTGTTTTATCATTCTTTTTTAATTTATTAACTTTTGTTTTGTAACGAAAAACAAAGAAGCAAATCAACACGCATTTGAAACATTCTTTCCTAATAAATCTATATTTTTTAATGTGAATTTTCTTAAACGTTTTGTGAAAGAAAACAAATATAATCTCTCTTGATGTGCTTTTAGAAGTATTAGAAAAATAGTACAATCTGTAAAACAACAATATGTTTGCAAAATAAACCGAATAAATCAAGCAATAGAAGGAACATTTTTGTATTTTTTTTATTTATGCGTTCCAATTTTCTATAATTTTAAGATGAATTGTTCACGTAGATTTTTTTAATTTTTCCCTTGAAATTTGGTGCTTACTTCGCCGATGCAATCAAATCTTTTGATCGTCAACAGAAACATGTCAGGATGTGAATAAAAAAGATCTCAATATGGGAAATCCGAGTAACATCAGAATTATGATATATAATGAGATTATAATAAAAAAACTGTTCCATATTTGAGAAGAAAACACATATGCATGCCAAAAAATTACATTTTATTACATCTTTTTATGGGTCAAAAAAGAAAATTTAATGTTCATTCAAATTGCTTCAAACTTCACCAGATAGTTTCAAATGATAAAACCTGATTCGCATTATTTAAAGCGACTGTGATTAGTGCAAAGTGCCACACATTGTGTGTGAGGAATTTTTCAGAGGAAATCTTGAATGAAAATTCTGAAAAGGCCAATCGATAGAGGTGATCAGACTGTATATATGTTACCATCGAAGAACGTGTCCTCGACTTTCGTCCACCATCCCTTCTACAAGTTGAGTTCGATTTTATGAATTTTTACCATGGAGTCGAAACTGGCGAGGACTTCTCAGTGTTGAAAAATCATTCTGAAAACATTATTCTTGAGGTTAATCCGGTTGCGCTCCTTAAATGTTTTACCATGTAATTTTTTGGTCTAATATAAATGTAGATTTGTCTTCATCAACATTTTCTGTAAAAAAAACTGCTGAAATATGATAAGTTTTGCTGGTGTAACAAAACTTGTATTCACAACTTTATCTATTGAAGAGATTCTGTATAAAATACTTAATAGCGTTGTGTATTTATTTGTGAGAATGAAAGCTATGTTATTTGTTTATTTAATTTATATTGTGTTTCGAAGCGCACGCAGTATCTCAATTGGATGAACAAGTGATTGACGCTTCTAAGAAAATACTCGGCTTTATAGAATGGTATTTGTTTTGTGATTTTATTTGTATGATTTTTCACTTGCAATAAAAGTAGCATCAAACTTATAGACGCTTATAGTTTCTTTCTTATGCAAACAAAATAATATCGAAAATAAAAATTGTCGATTACGTTGATTTATTCTTCTTTTCCGATATGTAAATTCAGGAAATATTGCTTTTCAAAGAATTTTATAGTTATCAAAATTTGTTATATATCATCTGATTATTTTTTGTTGATCTGTTCTTCTTGCTCACTGCCCGAATTTCTCGATAACTGTAGACAAATACACCAATGACGAAAATAGCAAAAACCAATGATACCTGCAACAAAATTTGGAAGTAGAATGCCATTCTTTCAAATTAATTCGAAGTTTTCTACTCACATAGAGAAGTGTGCTTGTTTCAAATCCATATCTTTCCCATATCCAGCAACCCCATTCATGTTTTATTTGTAAATTTACCGATTTGCCGTATTCTGAACCTTGGTAGCACAGAAAATCCCTAATATCATCGAATGTATTGTAGTCTGTGCCACAAATTTCCTCTGTGTAATCTCTGATATGATATCTCGTAACACAGACTCTTGGTATTTCTCCTTTTGGGTAAATTCTCGGTAAGTATACTTTTACGCCGTCACATAAATAAGTCGTCATAAGAACCAAATGAATGAAAATGGCTTTATTCATTGTTCAATCAAATTTTTGTACTTTGTTATAGACACAACTAAAACTGCGACAAATGTCAGCATCACAGCGATATGTAAATTCTTCATTTCTTTGTTGTACTTTTATTTTGTGCGCCCTGCGCATGCTTCGAATCTAATATAAACAGTTGCTTGACTTATATACTTCTGGACCACTAGAGTCCACAAATATTCAACGCGTGGAGCACGTGATAAAGATTGCATTGGACATTTTTTATCAACTTGCCTTAAAAACTACAGTCAGGTTCATTGACCATTTTTACACTCGTTGAAATTTTTGTTTATTACAAAATTACATTGTACGAAAATGACATTCTATTGAGAATATAATTTTCGTTCAGCCGATTTAACGAAAACAAAAGCATTAATTGAACAATGATTAAAGTAGTTTTCATTCATCTTGTTCTTATGACGACTTATTTATGTGACGTCGTAACATTAGACTTACCAAAAATTTTACCAAACAGGCGAAAAACCAGAAATCTTTGATACGTATTATCGAGGTTCAGAATACGGAAAAACAGTAAATATACAAATAACACATGGGGTTGCTGGATATGGTAATAACATATGTCCCAGAAACATTTGTCAAGAGTAAATTGAAGCGTACGCTATTTAAACACCAAAGAAGCATTTTGAATATTTATCTCAGTGGTATATAGTTAGCTTTATTCATAGGAAATTCGAAAACACATTTACAGTACACCGAATGGACCATTGTCTTCGATTTTTCTCAGTATGCGTCGAACCTTCAAAATCACGCTTTGGCAGACCGATTTATCGATTTCTTTCAACTTTCTCTCAAACCTTTCCATTAGTTGTTGCAAGAATTTTGGACCTTCGTCTATAAAATACATCCAAAAACAGACGAGAAATAATTAATTTGGTGTGTTTTTGTGAAGTTAAAAAGATGGTCCTTTTTTCATGGAAATGCTATTTTTTAAGAAGTGGGCCATTATTGATTTGCTTGCAGAGCACAATTTTGTCTTTAAACAGATAGTTCTCAACGAATGCCATCGTTTACAACAATAATTAGTTGATAATGGAGCATGTAATGGAGGTTTAACCTTACGTATCAGCACTAAAACTTTAAATTCATTTAATTCTATAAGACATCAATGACTATAAGACTTCATAAGATTTGTTGCGTTGAGCATAGTTGCTAATGGTTAAACATTTGAATTAATTATAATTGCACAACTTCTTTGTTTTTTTATATTCTGAACAATAAATTTATTAAACTCATTTTATAACATATAATCATTTGTTAGGTCGTGAAGAAAAAAAGAAAATAACTATTGTGTTAGTACAAATAAAAAAAAGAAAAGATAACAAAATAAATAATTTAAAAAATTGGAAAAAAAAAAATGAAATGAATCTTTTTGGATATAAACTGTAAATAAAATTGTCAAGCAATATTATTCGTCATAAGTTTTTCTGATCTAGATGCATCATTTATAAGCTATAAAAAGATTCATTCAATTTATAAATTATAAGCATTAAATCCCAGTGTAGTATTTAATCCAGTCCCGGAAGTACGGAATTGACGCACAAATAACGGGTATAGAAGCATTACAATTTGAACCATGGCTGATTATTCCGATGAGAAAATGTTCGGTCGTATGATTAATTTCAGATTGAATAGAAAGTGGACCACCGGAACCACCACAAAAAAAAGAATGTAATTATATTATATTCAAAAACAGAATGTAATAATTAAATTTACTTTATTGTCACGATTTTCAAGTTCGATTGAATAATTTTAAGAAATTTAAAGCAAGTCAAAAATTGTACTGTAATTAATCATTAATCAAAATGAATGAATGACTTACTCGTTGCTCTGACCGGTGATCGGTCAATGGCACATTGAACACTTTCATCGACATATGGATCGAATGATTGGCAGTCTTGAAGAGAGATTGTTTGAAGTGTGGCTTCCATCAAAACTTTAGAGAGGCTGTCATTTAAACCTGTGCGTCCATATCCTGAAATTGTAGCCGGTCGACCGGCCGATACGATGTAATTTGCAGACAACATTTTAATCGCTCTCATCGAATCACTATACTCGATTTCTTGCTCCAATGTAATGATGGCAATATCCATAAGTGGGTTCCTTGGATATTCGTTGTGTATCATTACGTTTGCAATATCAAACTTGCTTCCCCACCACGTACTCGACGTTGATCCAGCTCTGACAATAAGATTAGTCGTATCATTCATGCAGTGGCCGGCTGTGAGGATAAATCTGGTGCCGATGATCACACCTCCACATACGTGGTCATGAAAAAAACTCCAAGATACTCTGTTTATTGCCACTTGCCACGGGTGATTTCGAATATCGGCTTCTTTTCCATTAACGATTCGTAGCTGGCAAACTCCACTTTTTATGAACACAAACACTAGCACAACAACTATCGAAATTGATTTCATTTTTATTTGCTTTGCTTTGTTCTTTTGACTGGTCGTAGATAATATTCATAAAACGAAGATTTTCGCAGAAAAATTGAAAATTGAATACGGAAAAATTGCACTTTTTTGGTTTGTTCCTTTAACTGGTCGTTGATAATATTCATAAAACGAAGATTTTCGCAGGAAAATTGAAAATTGAATACGGAAAAATGGCACTTTTTTGGTTTGTTCCTTTAACTGGTCGTTGATAATATTCATAAAACAAAGATTTTCGCAGAAAAATTGAAAATTGAATACGGAAAAATGGCACTTTTTTTGGTTTGTTCTTTTAACTGGTCGTTGATAATATTCATAAAACGAAGATTTTCGCAGGAAAATTGAAAATTGAATACGGAAAAATTGCACTTTTTTGGTTTGTTCCTTTAACTGGTCGTTGATAATATTCATAAAACGAAGATTTTCGCAGGAAAATTGAAAATTGAATACGGAAAAATGGCACTTTTTTTGGTTTGTTCTTTTAACTGGTCGTTGATAATATTCATAAAACGAAGATTTTCGCAGCAAAATTGAAAATTGAATACGGAAAAATGGCACTTGTTTCACTTTGTTGACTGATCGATTTAAAATTATGTGCGAAAAAATTGTAATGCAAAAACAGCATTTATTCGTCTTGCAGCAATATGAATACTAAGCACTTGTTGAAATGTTCAAACCGAATTTATACCATTTACACTTGAGGTGTGGTCAACCGTTTGTTATGCTAAAACAGCATAATTGATGGTCTTACAATATTATGCGAAGTTTTTGTTAAATTTACGGAAGCATTTTTACAAAATATACATGATTGTAGGTCAGTGATAACGTGATGTACTTGATTGTTTTAAAACCGAAATTCAATTCAGTTTTAAAATGCTCTGTTTAATCGAAGTAGATGTTTATATATGAATAATTTTTTCTAGCTAAGCAACAAAAAAAGAGAAATGAAATTGAGGTTGACAAATTTGTTTCTGGGCCAGATTACCATTTATTTCAAAATACTTTTAAACCAATTAGCCTGCATCATTCTTTATAGACTTTTGTAGTTCGGCCCTGCAAACATAAAGTTCTTTGGATAATTTCACAAAAAAATTGCATGTTAAAATACGATAACTGCGGCGATCTTTAAATTTCGGGATTCAATAGATCAAACATTCTACTTAAAGCCCAACAATGCCATTGTCTGAGTGTAGCCAAACAGAATTTGATGGGTGAACCTAAATCCGGACTCATTTTCCCGAAAATCGTCCTAAAATTTCCGAAAATATTCCGAAGAATTCGAAAATAGTACAAAAAAATCCCCAAAATTGGGCTAAAAGTTCCCGAAAAACGGTCCGAAACGGCATTCCTTATTATCTAAATCACGATCGGCATTCGCATATTATTTAATGGGTGTTACGTAGGCTGCCGTTTAAGTTTTTTAAAAACATATACAATGCAATTGTTTTTTTTAATCAAAAATGACTTTATTGTTTTTCAAAATAATTGTTTGATGATCGATACACTTTTGCATTCGCTTGAATCAATTGTCATAGCATTTATGCCATTCCGCGTGAGACATCTCCAAAACGTGTGTTTTGAACGCATCAACTGCTTCTTCGGGCGTTGAAAATATAAAATTGTTGTAATATCTGCTGATATATTACATTGATAATGAAAATGAAATTGAAGACAAGCGCACACGCAAACACACAAACACATCACTCTCCGATGAACTGCACCAATTTTGTGTAAACCCCTTATTTTGATGTACAGCTATGAACATTATTGTGGAAAGGACAAGGAAAAAACGAGAGTTGCAAAGAGAGGAAGTCTACTTCAGTAAACATTCGTGACCACAGTTGTGGCCATAGTTTCTTATGACATAGGATGTGGAACTACATTGCAGAGAATTTACACTCGCATCACATTATTAGATTGGATGGAGTCCACTGTTTGGCCAAATCTATAGAAACGAAAAAAAACTAATTTTTAAATTTTGATTCATTCTTCTGTTCAGAAACAAAGTTAAATTGAAATCAATATTCAATAAAACTATGAAAGAAATTCAAAAATTGAAGTAATACACATTCGGATACATATAGAAAATGAATATGAAGCAATATCGAATGTGAAGCGCTCCTCTGCCTAACACCCTTCGTTTAGACTTATAAACACCCCTCACCACGAACTGTTTCGTGCATGCGCAAATGTGTTTGCCTGTCTATCGCGTCTTTATCATTATTGTTTGTGACTCAAAACAAAAACAAGAATAAATTCACAGAAATATTTCCATTGTGGCTCAGTTCAAGAGAGTTATCCTTTACGGAGTTCGAGCCAATCCATATTCAAAACGTGAACTTTATCTTAGTGGAATAAATATTCAATTGTGTACTTCGATTACAAAAACGCATTTGTGCGTTGAAATAAATAGAAAAAATGATAAAATTTCTTCCGTATCAAACTGAATATGCCAAGGGCAACACATCTTGTAACAAATGTCAGCAAAATATTCGCATAGACACCGTACAAATCGGTGTCAATCAACATGTAAGTACAGTATATTAATTTATTTTGTGTATACAAAAATATAAAATAATATGTGAACTCCACGCGATTTATTTAACACAGAACACGAAAGATGATTGCATGGACGCAAGGTGGTTCGATATGCCTTGTTTCTTTCAAATACGACGTCCTGGCCTGGAAGACTTCATAGATGGTTTCGCCAACTTAAGATACCACGATCAAATGAAAATTCGGACATTTTTAGGTAAATGGCAACAATGGCAAATTATCGGGTCGATATTTTGGTTTCAACATTTTATAACTTATTCCTCGTTAGGCGTTGATAATAATGTCCCAAGTACATCGACCGCTCAACGACCAAGAACAAAGAGCGAATCGCTCGATTTGACGTTGGAAGAACGAATAAAGAAACAGAACCACTCGTTTTTTGAAATTTATGACAAACTAAACACGCTAAAGGATGTGGAGCTTGTTGATATTTTGGAGATAATGCATCAATTTGTACCTGAACGTAGAATCGATGTAAATATCTATTGTTTTCTGCACGATGTATTCATATTTTTAATTTATTGCGTTTCAAATCCACAGAAGTTAAATCACGCGTGCGACGTCATTTGCTTCGGTGCATTGTCACCATGTTCAGTTTGTTATACTGGTAAACTTGTGTTCCGAAACTCGATGTACCGTTGCACCGGCTACGATTCAGCATGGACAAGGTGCCTCTATTCAACTAAAGAGCCACGGCGTGTGCCAATTAAGCTACCACGTCAATTCCAACAAGAATTCTTTGTCAAAAATTTCGAAGTTCAGACACGCATTCTCCGAAATATCACAGAATTCAACATGGATGAATTTGAGTAAGTTTTCATGGTTTTTCGTTTGGAATTTTGGTCAATATCTAATCACATTTTAGACAATATACAAAACAGCCTTTATTCGGCATGGAATTTTTCATTATTGGTAAGACGAAAAATCCAAGAAATGTTGTCGAACAGAAAATTCGTGCAATGGGCGGTCAACTGGCATCAGCCATTCGTGCAGGCATTACGGCAGTCATTTCAAATGCTGACGTTGTGAACAAAGGCGACGGGGAAATACTGTGGGCTTTCATACTTCGCATACGAATTATCTCGGATGAATTGCTGGAAAAAGTGCTGGAACACGATCCAATTGATTTGTTTGTCAAAAATGACTTGAGCAAATGGAGTAAAGATGTATGTTTGTTGACAAATGTTCTTTTTTAAGAATTGAAAAATTAAAAAATGTTTTTTTTTTGTTTCCAAAAGTGAGTTTGATACTGAATTACACATTTATCTCATGTTTCTTTCATTTTAGTCAAATGAACGAAAAACCATCTCAAAAACCAGTGAAATATCCAAAAGATGCGATAATAAAGCGAACGGTCAGATAAAATATGATAGAGTTTACTGCGATTTGGCTGTCCGGTATGAAGTGATGCTGAACTTTGTCGACAGTACTATGAACAAGAACTCATTTTTCAAATTACAATTGGTGGAATCAGATCAATTATATAATAATTTGATGAAGTAAGCATTGCTGAAAAATAAAAAAATTCTTTAATTTGTATACGAAATTAAACGATTCTCTTTGTAGCTACCATGTACTTGAGACAAAGGGTCGAATCATTACCAATTCATCCGGTCACTTCAGTCAAAAGAAATACTCCAACTTGGACGAGGCAAAAGGGGTTTTTAAGCAAATCTATTTGAAAATGACTGGTAATGAATTCGGCACCAATCGATTTGAAAAGAAACCCGGAAAATATAATCTGGTTAAAATTGACAACGACTATCTGCATCGACATGTGGAAAAAAATAATGTGTCGACCAAATTAAGTGAATCCTTGTACGAGTTGATGCAATTGGTGTTCTTTTTCTGTGAAGATGTAATGAAATCGACATTACTCGCATATTGTTTTGATGACTATAAAAATATGCCATTGGGGAAAATCCACAAAACGCGAATTGAAGACGCACTAATTTGCTTGGGCGAGATATTATCGATGGTGAGTTCAGGTGACTCGCACAAAATTATGGCCGCATCGAATCAATTTTATTCGTATTTTCCTCATGATTGTGGTCTTCACCCACCACCACTTATAAATACATATGAAATGGTCCAGCAAAAAATTGATATGCTACATCATATGCTCCAAAAAGAGATCGATTATAATACTCTGATTATGGACACAGAGAGAAACTGTCTCGATGTCTGCTACGAACATTTGGAAAAGTTTGCTAAAATTACGATGCTCAACAAATCATCAGAAATGTATGCACACATTTGTAACTACATCAATAACACGCAATTGCACAATGATTCAACGGCGAAATATGATCCAGGACCGTTCGATGTGGACGAGGTGTTCGAGGTAGTACGTCATGAAGAACTAATGCGCTATAAGCCACATGAAAAGAATTCCAATCGATTATTGCTATTTCATGGTTCACCCATTGAAAATTTCTTTGGCATCTTAAAAAATGGCCTAAAAGTTCAACCAGCCGAAGCTCGTTTTAATGGATCTGTCTTTGGTAAAGGCATTTATTTTGCAGATTCAGTAACTAAATCAGCTAGATATTGTCATCCAATCAATGAAACCGGTTTGGTTTTGTTGTGTGAAGTTGCAGCCGGTATTTCTGATATACGCTATTATACCAACAACTCAAAATGGATGGATGACTGTGAATCTGTCCAGGCGATTGGACAATGGAAACCTGAATCCATTTACGTACGTCATGATGGCTTGAAAATTCCAAATGGTAAACTCGTTGAACGGCCCGAGAAAGCAGGCATCGTTTTCAACGAATTTGTTGTATTTGACGAGTCACGAGTGAAAGTAAGATATTTGGTCAAATTGAAATTCACAGACACAGCCATCTAGGCTAGGAACTAGTGAGACCATTGTATAACACAACCAATGTAAGCCAAATAAATTCTTCTCCTTCCATCGCTATATTGGATTTTTTTATGTGTATCTTTTTACGAAACAGTTTCTTGACACAACGTCGCATCTACTGCAGTATACTAAATTCAAATATATTTAATAAATTATCATTTATAAATGAAAAATAATCATGGTGGAAAATTTTCTTTAAAAATTATAATAGAGAACATGTAGCATACATAAGAGTCGTAATTTGTTTACAATATTTCTTCGACAACTGACGTAATCATCGTAAAAATTGTCCCAAATTATTTAACTGTGTGTCAAATTACCATCTCTCAATTTGAATCTAAAGTACAACTCAAAAAGTACGGATTTTTCAATTTCAACAAGGAAAATTATTCATTTTTATTTCTTTTATCGTAATTTTTATAAAAATATTTTCTTTATTTCATTTTTTGTTTTATTAACCATTATGCATTCATTTTTTTTCGACATGAGAACCATTCTTCTATGATTATTTTGGTTTAAAATTCCTTAAAAAAATAGTCGAAATTCAAAAAATTGCATAGTTTACTCAAAAAATACTATTGACAAAATTGGAGAACAATCGAATCCACTGTTTAAACTGCTATAAAATTGCTATAAACGAAGAGAGGGATAATTTAAATTAAACAACAACACTTTGATGCAGCTGCCATTCATATTCCGGCATCGATTATGACACCACCATCACACCACGAAAAACACGATGATGATGCACGTGGTCCATGTGGAATGTGTGAGAATGCTTAACTCCAATGCATCACTCAAATTGAAGATATAACACAATCTTTTTGCGATGAATCTATAGTTTTTCTCTGTATTTTTTTTATTCACCTGAAATGGAAATAATAAACACGATAATATTCACATTTTTTACTATTTGCGGCAAACCAACAGCAAAATGTTGTACACTTCATACTGTTTTTTTTTTTTGTTGCATATTACAAGTGGAAGTTGTGCAGATTATTTTTTGTTTCTCATTGAGTGTTTCTTGTACGTTGCTTACGCCCACATCATATATCGTTCGTATTTCAGGTTGATAAGCATTTTAAGATTTAAAATAAATATACTATTTGAAAGATAAAGAAGAGAAAAAAAGCGCGAAATTACGACCAAATGGAAATTATGGATATTGAGCCAATTGATGAGATGCTTGCGAATTTTTTTTTATTATCTTAATGCTTAATTCTAAATAGCTATTATTCGTGGCATTCTTAAAATATGGTATGTTTTGCTGGTATAAAATAAGCATTTTTTCTCCAAACCTACCCTTTTTCTGAGATTCAAATGTAAGAATCACTTTTTAAAACAGAATATAGTATGCCATGAAATAATCATCAGAATTCTACATCTCAACGAACCCCTAGGGGACGGAAACCATTAGCTAGTTTTCTATATTTCAAGTAAAAACTAGAAAAATTAGCAACAATTATTTGATCCGCCATTTTGATATTGTGCCATGATTTGGTGACTCAATCAATTTTACAAGTCGACTATTGAAAGAAACAAGTACTTTATGCACGATTTTGTATTGAAAAAGAATAATTAAACTAATTTTCACTATTATAAGTGTATAATTATTCAAAACACATAAAAATATGTCTGAACAACAAAACGTCAAAATACTCCATTGTGTCAGTACAATCATTTGATTGTCATTTGACAGAACAAAAACCTAGAAAACCAGAAATTTCATAAAGGAATATTAGCATTATTAAATTATTCAAGCAATAAACCAGTGACCGGTTCGCGCATATTTCTATGCTTGCCTAAATACGCTAGGTAGCATAGATATGCCAAGCATAGCCGCAAACGCAACCGACGCATCGCCGTTCACTCTATATGAACAATACACATGTTCGTTTATGCAGACGACCGTGCGCATACAATATAGCTCGAATCGAATGGCGACGGGTGCGTTGCGGCTTACGTCTCCGCTATGCTTAGCATAGCTATCAGGCATAGAAATATGCGCGAACCGGTCACTGCAATAAACTAGTAAATTAGCTAAAAACTAGAAAAACTAGCATTGGTTTCTCTCCCCTAGACGAACCCCCTGTTAGTTTTTCCGGTTCGAAATGAACATTAATCTCGTCAGTTTCTTGTTGTTTTTGTATTTACCTTTAAAACTATTTCAGTTTTTTTATTTGATTTCTTGAAATATTCTTTTTTAAGAAAAGAGATGAATACATTTTCTACAACTTTCTTTTATGTTCCTTTGTTACCAGTTCAGACTTTATTTTTTGAATAAAAAATCGACTTTTTCCAAATTTGTCCTCCAATTTTTTTTAATGGTTTATGAAAACACAACAAAATAAAACAATTCCATAAGAAACAATGGGACATATCATTAGAAACCCAACACTAAGTACTAAATTTGGCAAACCGGAATAAAAACATAATACAACCACAGTTCGAAAAATTAAAATCAAATGATCAAAAAAGGAAATGAATCCACCTACGTAACGTTCTTCACATTCTAATTTACATGTTTTCTTATCCGGTTGTAATTTATATCCCAAATAACATGCACAAGTAGCTCCAACCATCGATTGGATGCAGTTTTGCTGACAGCCATGATCTACCGTTACACATTCATCGATGTGTTGGAATAGCGTTGCTGAGAATCCACTGTGTTTATCCAAACCAACGAATGATATGAAACGAATGTACATTTGATTCGTCGTTGAAATGAAAGTTTTTGGCCAATGTTCATTATCTACTTCAATCAATGGAAATGTACCGTTTGTGCCATCATGAATTTGAATGCAATGATATGAATTCTTGCAACTTTCATGTGTGCCGCGCAGATCTAAACCATCATAACTAAACATAATGCGTATTCGACGATTAAGTGGAACGTTAATACGCCAAATACATTCCGCGGGTTGTAATAGGTTATGCAGATAATTTGGTGATTGAATTTCCTGGCCATTGACATCTGTCAAATCACCACCACAAACTGTTTCGTATGTGGCAGCAAATCCACGGAATTCAGCATGATTTGAAATGAAATTAATGAACATGCGATTTCCTGTTGACATAATTACGGATGGAGTTGTTGTGTTTGAACCACAAAAACGACCAAGTAGGGGTGATTTATGCCAATATCCTTCATGAATATCCAAAAAATCACTCTGACAGTCTATCGATGCATAGATTTCGAAATCGGTGATATTCAATCGGATTCGTTCACCGAGCGCTGCAACAATATGCCATTGACATTGAAATGATTGATTTGATGTCGGTTTTGATTCGAAATTTTCTGATGTAAACGAAGCCTGCTGACGACCAATAAAAGTTTGACCACATTGAGGACATTGGTACAGTTTGTTTGTTTGCATTACGTCACCGTAACTTAACCCTTTTTGTTGGCCAATATCTTTCAATACGTCCTTTGTCTTTATCGTAATTTTGTCACTTATTGAATAGGCGTGTTGTTCATAGTGCATAATTGATTCATAATCATACGGTTCTCCTAGTGAATTCACGTCGTTAGTGGAATATTTATCTATCAAATCGTTTTTTGAATCCGGATCATCGATAATATTTTCAGTTAAGATGTCAACATAATCGTCTCGATCGGGTCGTTGATGTTCATGATGAAATCCAAGTGCATGTCCTATTTCATGGATAATTGCACCTTGGTCATGGCATTCATCTCCAATAGATAATCTTTGACCACCACTGCCCTGTCTACCAACGTATGACCAACAATTATTGTCCTGATGCTGACCACGAGAAGTGAAAACTATGTAGTCGTCATGTTCGTCCGGATCGCGTGGAATGAATGTGATACATGTATACTTTTCCCAATGCTGCATTGCCTGAACGATGCCATCCCTTTCAGAAGCACTGTATCCAGCACATGGGTCAATCACATAAGGCACGATACCGAATTGCCATAAAAGCCTTTTGTCTGCTACGGCTGCTCGTTTCATGCGATGGTTACTACCAAATCGATTTATTTCCTCTATGGAACTTCCTATTTCTGTGGCATTATCAATTATTGTTGCTGGTTTTGCCACTGAAACCTCCGAACACAAAATTAAACACAATATTTTAAAATGGAACAATATATTTAATTCCATTTTTCTCGATGAACAACCACAGAAGAATGTTGTTGGTGTTATACCGATCTGATCTAAAGTGAAACTGAATGTTCTCTTTTTCTTTATTTCTTGGTACTTTTTCCGTCCTTTTATCTGTAATTTAGAGAAAATTATATTAGTTATTTGTATATTGCCTTTTCGCACACCTCTGTGCCTATTTTATTATCATGATGACTCTTTTTCAGACATTAAACTCAAGCTATGGATATTGAGGTGCTATTCATGGGTGCTATTTAATTTGTTTTTTTTTTTTGCTTAAGAACAAAAAATTTCTTCTAATTTTCAGAATATTTTACAACCTTACGGATGTAAGACATTTTATTTAAAAATTCCCTAATAGCATTTACAGACCTGTGAAATTCTAATTATTCCATTACTTGTCATTCTAATTTTTTTTTATGCCATATCGAGCTCCAACAAATCAACTGATATTTTACAAAGCCATTTTTTATAATGAAAAAAATAAAATGAAAAGAAAGAGAAAAAAATGTTTGTTCTATTTTAATTTTCAACAATGGAATTTTTTTTATTAAACCACGGGAGAAGTAAAACATTCAAAATCAAAAGTTTCATTCACAATAATAAACATTATATTTGCAGTAAATTAGAAAACTATATTAAAAAGAAACGTGTATGAATACACATTTTGCTTAAAATAAATGGGTGTTCGCTTAAAAAGTATGTTCTTTTATCTTTACACGCATTCAAACACTATTTGCGAATCGTATCAATGTGAAAATAACGTTTTTGTAATCACATTATATACGATGATCCTTATTGGCATACTTTTCTCATCGTTACATGCAAAACTATAACGTATATTTTCTAATGCTGCTTAATATTTTTAATTTTATCGTTTTAATTTTATTTCATATTTTGTTGAATATTTAACTATCGTATCAATTGACCATCCATCGATAAGGAGTGGTATTAAATCCTCCTCTTCAATGTGTTCCATTAAAAAAGAAATTTGTTTAAGAGATTCAAACGTAGTCCAGTGAGGAATCATATTATCAATCGTTAATCTAACACTATAACCAAATTCAATTGCTTTAAGTAATGGCAACGCCTTAGCGATCCTTTCAAGGTCCACATGTTCAATCACACTCAATCTCAAGAATGTAATTGTTGGATGTTTTTCAATGAAATCATATTCATATTCACTCATTCTTACAAACTTGTAAAGGTGCAATGTTTCAAGATTATCGGCGACAAATGGAATTGGATATGATATATTTGTCTGCTCTATAAAACGAAGACTTTTCAAATTTCTAAAGCGCATCGATTCCCCATTAAATTCAAAATAAAAACTATCATTTACAGTAACTTCTAGACTCTCAAGATTTTGCAGGTTCACACTTTGAAAATCATTTGCATCAAAAAATGGAATTCCAGGTGATGTGGAAACACACAGATGCTTTAATTGTGGATTCAATTCGAGCGCGGCCATGAAATTTCTCCTTAATGAATCAACAATCCATGGGATGGTTTCAAATTGTGATAGAAAAATTGACAAATGCTCCAGAAACGCAAAATGATTCTCAGCCAATTCAAATGTAATTTGTGAAACTTCTTCACAATGAACATTCGTCACAGATATGTGAAGTTCTTGCATTCTTGGAAAGATTGTATTCAACCAATTCTTCTCAGTCAGACCAGAGAAAGAACAATCGTCAATTTTTAACCTTTTTACTCTGGGGAATGGTTTCTTAAAATGTTCTGGTAAATCTTGAATTCGAATAAATTCAATATCTACCAAGGATTCACCACAGTACTCATTTATGTAATCAATTGTACGCTGGGTCCGTATAAATTTTCGTTCTTTCCATGGTTCTGAGTAGCGCCAGGAATATTGATTTATTTCACCATAAAATATAAGTTGAATTCTAGTTATCAATTCACCGAAACAACGCAGATAGCGTAGAGTGGAAAGTGCAAATGGATTTCCATTTACTATATGTAAAGGAATTCTTCGGCAATGGTATTTTCGGTCATAAATGGACTTTGCAGCATGATTTAGTCGTTTGTTCGATGCAGCCGCATTCAAAAGATCTTCAATTTTTAAATGTTCCAAACAGCTCTCAATGCAATCTATATTCATATCCGTGAATTTCATCTTTTCCATTATTTTGCACAGTTTCTATCAAATCAAACATGTTCACACAATAATAAGTAAATTACAATTCTATTCAATGATAAACAAATCAAAATATGGATACAAACTTACCTAATTATTCAAATCGATTTAAATTCACTTGAGTTATTTGATGATTGAGCCTCACGTTTATATAATAATCCAAAGCTATTACACTAATTTTGAATTTTGTTTAAAGAAATTTTGTTAATTTAATAAACCCGAGTGTGAATTTTTAAAAATACCAAGATGATCAAACAAATAAGTTCGGAGTTTCAAGTGTTCGGAATGAGATATATTTCAGTTGAAACTTTGCATTCGACCTCAACAAAATTTCAAATAGAACTGAGCGTCTGAAAAAAAAAATACATTTATCTGACCGCAAACCACAAATAATGGGAAACTTAAAAAGGATGCCTTCTAAGACGTCTACTTTTTGGTATTCAATATTTTGGTATCAAAGTCTAGATCAAAGTGCAAATAGGCAAATGATGTGAAAGCAGGTAAAATTTGTCTAAAAACTATGCAAAAAAAATTCATCGGCCGAAGAATACATTAACCAGGTACACATTTATTATATGATTTAAGTAGACAATACAGTTTAATTTTTGTTAAACAATGAAACATGGTTTTTGAAAGTAACTTTTTTTTAAATTTTGCTTTCTAAAACAATGGGAAAAAGAAATTGAATGTTTTTAAAGATGGTTTACCTTTTCATTCAGCAATATAGCTGAGCCTGCAATAAACATTAATTTTCTTCTGAAATGTTTTAATCAAAGAAAGACACTATATTCATGTATAAGATTAAACAGTTTTTATTTCTATTCGTATCTTTACGAAGTAATTATTTTTTTTTTTAAAAAGAGAGAGAAATATAAGGCTATGCTTAACTCGGTGTAAAACATAAAATTATTTGTAATTATTATTTCATGAATTCTATGAGTTGATTTAATTTATTATTACTGATCTGTTGTAAATTTTGCGCGACAAAAAATAGTTCACCTGTAGAATCGCAATCGCGTAGATTGTCATTATACTACGTGTAAACGATGTGGCGCTGTTTGTAACGACTTTTCATATCATTCGGTCTGTGCCGTTCAATTCAAAAATTGAATCCTTAATAAGGTTAAACTTAATTGAACTAGTTAATTAAATGTCTAAATTGTTTCTTTGCTGGTTTCATTTGGTCAAAGTTCATGTTATTATTTTGCTACCAACTAATTTTCAAGGTGATTATTTGAAATGTTTTCCAACATTTTATTCGAATAATAATAGATTCAGATGCGGGTAGTATGATTTATTTTTTTTTATTTTGTGATTGATTTTGACTGGACAATTTTATTTCAGAAAAATTTCGAAATTAAAATATGGTTTTCAAAAATTTCAAATCGTTTGTGTTATTTTTTTGAAAAAAATAATTTTTAATTCTTTTTCCATAGAAAATACGTAAAAATTTATCATGTACACTTTTATTTACAAAACTTAAAAAACAAACGAGAGAAGAAAAAAAACTGTCAAACATGCGAGCATAAAAAATAGGATGATAAGTTAAATTCAGATCATGATAAAACCTAATTTAACAATCGATAAAACTCTTTTTGTTGATTTCAAAGTTTTTTTTGGCATTATTTTTTTTTTCTTATCCATTTTCCTTAGAAATGATTCAGCTAATGCAAATCTCAACTTAAACAATGTATTTTGTAACGTTAAACTTATTAATCAGGTATTTGAATATGAAATAAATAAAATCATTTTCATTTTTTTTTCTTCACAAAACGACATTTTTTTAAGGCTATAATGTAAATTAATATCTTCAATTCATATGAATGCGAATGCAAACAAAAACCATTCTAACTTTACAAGGACATAAAATAAGACACTGATTTCTTCATTTTGAACTCGGATACACAGGTTGCCGTTGAATTCATTATTGTTGATTGGATCATGTTGAATATGCTAAATTTTTGGATGATTCTAATCACATCGAAAGTAGACCTATACAATGTGAGAAAACAAAGTGAATTATTATTAAGTATCATGTGAACTGTGCGTTTTTCTTGACATTGTCAAGTGTTTCTTGAACAAACAAACAAAAAGTAATGCTCAATTTGAATACTAACCGTCAAATTAAATTTAAGTCTGTCTATCAATAGTTTGAAAAAACCACTCTGAAAATCGGCGAAGTTGTTGTACTGCAGCCTGAGATTCATCTTGCAGCCGGCGATTTTCTTCTGTGAGCTTGCGTACGGCATGTTCCAATGATACTCGACGCTTTGTTTCTTTTGTGATACGGTCCTCAAGTTGTGTGACTTGATTTTGTAGATCCGGTAAACTTGATTGTGTACGATTTGCACTGCCAGAACTGGACGATGTGGACGATGTCGATGACAATGATTCGTACGATGGTGAATTGTTTCCGTGTTGTCGTTCGGTTTGATTGCCATTCGTCGTGTTCATAATTGACGTCGGTGGAATTCCGCCCGATTCGTAATAATGTTTCTTTAGCCCTTCGTTAATTTGCGTAATTGCACTGTCAACCAAACTGCTCCAGTCAACATCTTTTGTGTCGGGTATCAGTGGCAGAGATCGTGGCGGTATGAAATAGTCGTTTTCCTTGCTTTTCTTCACTTGACCATTGGCCGATGTGGTTTTGTTATTCAAGTTATTGTTATTATTAACGACATTACTGGCCGTCATTCGTCGTGGCGTTGGATTTATATCTTCATGAATGTGCAGTACATTCTCTTCCTTCGATGGTGAGTGTACGTTCGTTGATGATATAACGGTGGCTGGTCGCGCCGTTGTTAAAATAATATCCGAATCATTTACTGGATTTGATCCATTTGTTTTTGTTTTGTGTAACATTTCCGAATTTTCGATTGTATTTTTTATTTTTAAATCGGCCGATATTGGTACGGTGTGCGAACCAAGATTGATTCCTTCACGTGATCGTGATTTTTTACGCATCAAAAATATGTCATCGGTTGTGGTGACACTCATCGGTTTCAAGCCATTATTGAGCGCCGCAATGTTCCCCAAACTATGACTGTTCTGTGCGTTTTTCTGTGTTTGCGCTTTGATCGATTGCAAACCACCATTGTGAAAATTGTCATCGTTGCTGGTCATATTATAATCTGGATTGATGAGTTTCATGAGATCCTCTTGTAATGTACTATTTGTGTAATTTACGCTATTCCTCTGTTGCAAATGATTCAAATTACGATTTGTAACGCCGGGTCGAAGTCGTGCCTCTGTCAATGGTCGTGGACTGTTGTTACGACTGCTCGAATTTGACGCTGATGAAGATACGGTTCCATTACCTAAAACGAGAAAAAATGGAATTTTAGTTGAGCCATTCCGTTCATTTAATTCAAGAGAAAAACTTACTTTTCGGTTTTTGTACACTGCTTGCAGTTGACGATCGTTTAAGTTGTGAAATGTCCATATTTTGAATACCATTGCCAAGTTCGTCTTCGTTACTTTTTCGTGACAGATTATAAATGGGTTCAATGGAACAATTATCGAGTTGACTACCTTCGGGTGATGTATTTTTCAGTATATTACGCGCATGTTGCATTTCATGACTGTGCACAGTGTCATCGGATCCATTTGAATTTGCCGACCGTGGTGCGGACATTTTTCCGTATGCAGCCAATTTTGGATCGTGAATCGAAAGTGGCCGTGAATTATTGATTGGAACCGAATTGGAATTGATTAATTTTGGATGTGGTGCATATTGTGGTGACTTTTGATAACGTTGTTGATGTTTGGCTTTATCGTCGTCCGGCACTTCAAGAATTTCATACCAACGATCATCATTGGATGAATGTCCACTTGATGACGATGTTAAAGTGCCCGTATGATCATGTCCATTGCCGCTAATAAAACGCATTGTATTTGGATGATTTTCATTATTTTGGGCACCAAAAGAACGACTGCTGCTTCCAGTACCGTAGCCAGAGCTGTTACTCGATCGTGGCGGTGAAAAGTTTCGTTCAAATCGTCGATGCGATGAATGTGTAACGCTCTTGTGTTTCGGTGGCTTCTTCGACGGTTCATCCAAATCGTAATCGATTTCATAGTTGATGATATTGAATTTACATTGTGGATAGAAGCAACCTCGACGTGGCGAATGATCTTTGTGCGATTCGATGACGGTGACAGTGACTTGGGTTGAGGTTTTTAGCAAATCAACCATTTCATCGTGTGACAATGTGGCAACGGCCACCTTACAAATCTCAACCAAACGATGTCCCTGTCGTAAACCAGCCGACCACGCTTGACCTTGTTGTTCGACTTGTGTCACTACGCCATCGGGTTGTACATGAAAACCCAGTTGGCCCAATTGATTACGACGTAAATTCAATTCAATTGCACCACATCCAGGCGTAACGGCTCGCAATCGTTCAATCACTTCCAATTGCTCATCACGTTCGGCCGATTCACGTAAACTCAATGTAATGCATTCGCTTTGATGGTGATAGATGCGAATACAAAATCCATTTGTTGACCAACCCAAAATCGAACGGCATGGCGTTACAAAAACAATTTGCCGTGAACACTCTTCCATCAGTACGAATGTATCGTGTGAAATGCCCAAAAATGCATCAACAAATTGACCGCCATCGTGTAGAATAACTTGCCAACAGAATGCACCACGTTGAATGGCGCTTCCGTTGAACTTTGGACGTTGACGTTCCTTCTTCTTTCCAGCACTGAATATCGAGAATTTACTGCCACTCTCAATCATTGCCGTTGTGATGTAATTTGTTGCCAAATCTTTAAGATATTCTTGTCGTGTACGTGTTGCCATCGTTGCAAATTTTTCACTACGATGTGCTGCATTCTCAGCATTTATGATTTTCGCCAATAAAAAGTCCATGAATGTTTTGCCCTTTGAATAGATGGCATTTCCACGAATCGGTGGACCAAAAACTGGCACCTCCTTTGATCGTGACACCGACACTTTGTACTGTGTATGATCTGTACATGGATTAATTGCACGAACCACAACAAACACATGCTGAAATTGACTTCGAATATTTTTTGGTGTGAATGGCATTGAGCCCGGCTCTTGAAATACAATGGTTACAATGTCATTGCCAATGTGTCGTTTGCGTAACAATTGTTGTCGATTATTCGGTGTGAATGGCAACATTGTTGACACATGAAACATAATCTCACAATCCTGATAAGTAGCGTACAATGAATGCGTTCCCGTCGAATCGGTTTTATTATCCAAACCGGCTTTGTAGTGATCGAATCCTTTAAGACATACAGTTTTACCGATTGTCTGTAGAAATTCGGTGAATGCTGGTCCGGCTTCTTCATTATTGTACATATCCTCTTCGGTGCTTTGGCCAGCTCGACAATATAAAATGCCCACTTTATATTTATTGGTTAAACCTTGTTCATCCAATTTCAGTAGCTGTTGTTCACATTGTGGTGTATTCACACCTTGTCGTAGACATGATAATTGAATATCGGGTGCAACATATTCGATGATATCTTTGGTTGTGGCCGGTTTACCAGCACCACGTGTACTTGGAATTGAATCCTCAACGACTGAGCCACGTAGTGTCAATAATTCGGATGTTCGTACAATCATTCGAATGAGATGCGGTGCATCTTTAGCCTCTTTTGCATTTTCACGTTCCGTTTGTTGTTGCAATGTTTCGGGTAATTTTTCACGTTTTATTGATATTGCCACCGGTCCAAGTTGTTCATCCATGCCAAAGAAATGTTGATGCTCTTGTCCGAAGAAATATTTTCGATAGTATCGTGCACCGATGTCAACCGATTCAATGGGTCGTTGGGTACGTTGAAATGGACAGGTGTTATCCTTCCAAAGTGCTTCATTTGGTTCACTTTCTAAAATTGATACGCCATAGGCAAGTGCCGGTCGATGGATTGCATTTTTCTGATTCATATTATTACCGAATCGTGTTAGACTCACTTCTCTCTCTTCTTCGCCGCCAACTTCGTTTCGGAAAAATGGGCAACTCTCAAGCAATTCATTGCTTTGTCCATCACCATAATCGTCGACATTTTCTTGCGCCGAATCCGGTGTGGATGATCTTGTATTCAGCATCGATGCAGCCGATGCACCAGTTGTGGTGTTACGTCGTCGTGCCAATAGTACACCACGTAATTTAGCCGCATAACCCAAATTAGCTGCCAGCGATTGGCAATCATAATGAGCGAAAGCTCGTCGTTTTTGTCTCTCTTCCATATCGGCCGAAAGTGTTGATGCAACACAACAATCTTCGGTAATTCCATTTGTGATCGAAACTGGATGAGCAATTGACATTGAGCGTGTTTGTTTTGATTGTCCCCACAATCGTTGTAATTTATTTCGAAGTTTTGGACTGCCACGATCGATGCTATCCTCACTCAATGACTCGTTGATAAAATTTTGTTGAGTGTGTGTCGTTGTACTGTTTAATGATGTATTGTTGGCGGTTGTAGTCGTTGTGTGTGTCATTGTCGATGATTTGACGGTTGTTTGTTCGACCACTTTGCCTTTCATGTATTCGACGGGACCAGGTGAACGTTGATCCGTTCCAATCACACCGAGCACAGCCGGCCGATAATCCTGTAGCATTGCAAAGAAACTTTCACTTGTGCCACGTGAATGTTTTGGTGGTGTGGATGCTAATGCATCAATACTTCCATGACTGCCGTATTCGCGACGCAAACCAGGTACGGGATGTGTTCGCTCCAAATGCAAACCATTGTTGCCATTTGAATTATTTCCATTTGATGGTGTTTCGTTGTGCATCAATTCCAAACTCGAATTCGATCGATACATATTGTCTGAACGCTGTTGTGAATGTATACGATGATATGCACCTGTTGATGGAACAGCAGCCGAAGATTGATAAGCATTACGTGCATTCATTAAGTGTCTTTCGTTGACCGAACTTCGGGCCGTTAAGCCAGCACCAACACGTACTCGCAACACATTACTATTATAATATTCGACCGCATGTAATGCTCGTTCACGTGCACTGCCCTGTCGTGGCGGTAGATTATGACTTATACTGGTTTTGTTATTTGTGATATTGTTTATGGGTGATGTTGCTGTTGACGATGCTGCCATTGTAGCAGGTGCTGAATTAACTGAACCAAGATTATTCATTGTTGACGATGTTACTGTGTTTGCCATTTTTGTTGGCGTTGACATTATTCGTGGCGAATTGCCACATTCTGTTCGTCCACCAGTCATACCATTTTCAGATGCCTGCAAAATAAAACGATTTATTAAATTAATTTGAATTTTTCATTGAATTGATCACATTCAGAAATGTTTAATTTATATGCTAAAATTATGGCAGATGATTCATATATATATATATACCAAAACTAAATGTACAAAAGACGTTGAACACTCCATTTAATTTTGTTAAAATTAAATTTAATAACGTTTTTTGTGACGTCTTTAATGCTTGACCGTAACTGCACAACTAACATTTTATATCTAAGAAAATGTTGACGTTTGTCCTAATTCCTTTTGTGTGTGCGTATGAAATACCAAAATGAGACAACGACATATCAAAATAAAAGAAACATAAAAAACGATTTCTCTTCCTTGAACCAATGCAGGAAAGAGCAAACAAAAGACATTAGACAACACACACACACACATACACTTCATTGAAATGTGCATGACCATTGAGTGTTATCCAGTTACCATACGAACACGGTAATGCGAACGAAACGAAAGAGAGAAAAAAACTCATTTTCACAATTTCTATGATGACGAAAAAAAAGAAGAAGCACACGAAAAAGGAACACGAAAATTTCCTTCGTAGAAGTAAACGATCATCATTTATGACGCCCTTTTGTGTTCGTCTATGGACCATTTCTCTTTCTCCCTCAATCTCACACATTGCGATGCTCTTCCTTTGAACGCTTCATTCTATTCTGCTGTGTTCTCTCCACACGATTATATTCTCTTTTTTTGTTCATTCGTTCTTCTTTTCAACGCAATACGCACATACTTGAATTTCGGCATCGTTGGGTAATTCACTCAAATTATAGTCTCTTGAACATCAGACACACACACACAAGCACATCCATGCTGTGTACTCAAGTGAGAACATACTTGAACCCAAAAGAAAGCCGTTTTTCAAATTCATTCACTAGCTTCAGCATTTGCTCTTTACGCTACTTCTTTAAACGACAACAACAAAAAAAATATGAAAAAGATTTTGCTCACATAAATGCAGACAAACGATGGAGTTTGTATCTGTTCAAAAGTTGAATAAAAATTCCGCTTTGAAACAAAGTTATCCTAGTTCAATTGTTTGCATTCCATCGTATCATTTCTATCTCTTTTGTAAGAGTTGCCTTTTTGTCCAAGTGGGAAAAAATGCACTTTTGATCGGATCATAATAAATATTTTTTTGTCAAAGGTCACAATGACAAAATATAAAAACATATTATGCAAACCAATGCCGTTGAACAAAAACTGTGAAATAATCGATGAACAATCTTTTCAACTTGTTATGAATGAACATATTTTTTGTGAGTTTTTGATTTTCTTGCGTATTTTTTTCTTATAGAATAAAATCAGACTTATAAAGTTATAAACATTAACAACGAAGCGCGAATGGGTCAGGATGTTTAATAAGCGCCTTGAAAAAAAAAACATCTCAAACCCATATCAACGAGACCAACGAACACATTTCCTTTTTAACGAGCAAACAATATTACTCAACACTAAATTTCCAAAGACAATACATCTACCTGTGATTTCGATAGAGCAAACCAGCGAGACGGAAAGAGAGAGAGAGGAGAAGACACGATATTAATTTTCTTCTTCCTTGGGATCAATTTCGAGTGTGCCCGTGGTCGTGGCTCTTCGATTAATCGTTCAAATATTTTGTGTATTTATTAAATGTGTGGAATATTTCATTTTTCGACGGCGTGATGAAGTGCACCTGCCTCAATTACACCATGTATCGTTGCAGTGAGAATGGTAAATAAAAAAAACCATCCATCGAGCGTCGACTGCACTGAGTTCCAAAGAAATAAAATCCATCATGATTTAAAAATCGATCGATTTTAACCACAAATCAAACTGCAGCACTTTTATGGCTTTGTTTATGTTTTTGTTGGTGTCATTCGTCTCGATTAAACTATTTACAAACAAGAAAATTCCCATCGATTTTTCTATCGACACTGCAATAAAACGATTTATGGCAAGTAAACTATTTTCCCCAACCAAATCTCTATATATATATTGCATCGTTAAATTCCCATCGTGTCGGCGATCATTCTACTTCTAAAATCATGACGGTAAAAGTGCAACGCACACACAGTGTGTGTTTTTTATATGATTCGATTGAATAAATTATAACATATGAAAGTTCTATTATCAAAAATCGAAATGTTATAAAAAGTTGCTCGTCTCATTTTATTAAATACCAATCTGGTGTTCTTTTTATCCACTTTTTTTTTGATATAGTTTCATTAAAAATAGAACCAATAAACCCGTCTCGGAATATTATATTCTTTGTGTAAAAGTGAACATTTCTAATTAATGCACTCCAACTGGTGCGCTAGATCGATTTTGGGATATGCTGAGAGAAAAAGAAAATCTAAATAGAGAAACTATTTTGAATAACGACGGTTTAATGAAAAGGATTTTCAGATTGTCTGCATGTACTTCTGATACGCTTAATTTCGATAAGAAGAAAAAAAACATCTCAAGAAAATAGATAGAAGTAACACAACGACGAGAGTGTAGTGTCGGTGCTTAAAAGGCGTAATGATCGTCGTGTTCTCGTCGCTGCTCATTTATGAATTCGGTGAGTGCATTAGACCATCGTTAAATATAAAGTTTTATGAATGGATTCAAGTGGCCATACCTTCAAAATAGCATCGGCCGTTTTCATGCCGATGAAAAATCGATCCATTGCATTGCGTGAGTGCTTTGTCTATTATCAATTGACTTTATATGCGTTGTAATAAAATAAAATTGAGCTCAAACGCGCGCACTTTCGTCTCTGACGCCCAAAGTCATCAATGTTACTCTTCGATCGTGGTAGAAAATTAAGATTAATTACACTGCATGAATCCGTTTCGTCCTTCTTTCAAAATCTACATGTAATTTGCCGCCAGCAATTATGCCACCATATTTCGTTCAATTCAGAATAAAAAAAAAACTATATATTTTGTGTTTATGTTTTAATTCACTAGTTTGAAATGTTCATAAAGACCAAATCGAATTTTTTATTTACACACAAAAATATAATCATCACATACGAATTGTTTTGCTCACGACACAAAAACTAATACTGAAAATGATATTTGCCATTCGACGGAGTTTTGTTTGAGTTTTTCGTAAATATGATGAAATGACAACGTTGCAAACACTAAGCCGGGAGAACACACACAAACGCTCAGTGTCGGCAGACAGATAAATACCGACTCAACACATGATAATGAATTTTTGCTATCATAACATCCGTGCGGAATGTTGTTGTCGTTTCCAACAACCCACAGAGCTGTCATCATGCATCATCCGCATTTGAATTCTGAAACATTGCTTCGACGCTATACATTTCCATTTTAGTTACGAGAAAAAAGTAATATCAAACTCCATATTTTTGGCAACAAACATTGACAAATGACACATGTGCGGTTGCAATTCTACACAATTTATGCATGTGAATTTTTCCTTACTTCAAAATGAAAACGATAGCAGACGAGTCATTCCATTTCAAAAATGCATTTTATTTATTGCATAACTGAACAAATCGCTCTGCCAGTATTGTAGCACTCTTTAAAAAAAAAAACAATTTATGAGCATGTGAAATACGAACGAGACTGATATATGTTTATATGCGCGATGTGCATGTAATTGCAAACATTCCAATAAAATTATCGCATTGTTAACGATCATTTGTAACCTTTTTTTTCCTTCCTTTAATTCAATGTTGTTGGTGAGAAATGGAATTCGGGTAGTATATTATACGCGATGAAATTCAATCCAATCTATTAACGAGAATCTATGAGGTAGATCAAAATCAGTGTGTCAACCTGTTTCCTGCGCGTGTGCATTTGTTCATTAAACCAAATGTTTTTCATATTTGTGGGGTCAGTTGATGGTCTAGCATTATTCGATGTCTTATCATGTATCATAAAAAATGGAATGAAATTTCATATTATTTATCTGAAGCATTTAATTTTGAAAGGAGAAAATCAATTAACTTTCTTCCAAAATTGTTTATTTTTTTTGTGTCATTGAATTTATGGTGACAATGAAAGAAACAAAAGCAGACTTAACTAACTAAATTTAAATTAACTGGTATGACAGCGAGACTAATAAAATTGAAAAAAAAAAAGATAACTGGGCAGCTTCAAAACGTGTGCTTTGGACGTATGTCCAAAGATATTATCATTGTGAGGCGCATACGACCGATGAAAGCTGAGACAACAGCTGACACAGTGGGATATTGAACTCATCCCATGTAACAAACCAAAAAGAGACACTCACTTTAAAAGCCATGCATTTCTCTCTCTCTCTCTTTTTCCTTTGTTGGTATTTGATTTCGCTTTAACTGCGTAATCATACATTCGATTGGGGGACTTTGTCTACGCTCGTCCAATTAGCCTTGTCGCTATTGCATCGACACACACACAATGCATCAAAACACCAGCAGAGAGCAAAAACAGAACAATGACCATAAATAAAGAGGGAAACCAATGCATCAAATCCAATTTGTTGACCAAATGAAATGTAATTGCAATCAATTGACCGTATAGATGCGTAACAATGTTGTTATTCTATTGATTTAAGTTGATTTCATTACGATATCGCCCTCGTTTTTTGTTTAAATAATATATGGCGACTGGACGATACAATATGCACATGAGATAATAATCCAAGCGCATGTAAATAGAAATATATTGACAAATTAGCAACTAGCTCTGATTTTCATCGAAAATCGAGTCACAATCTTACAATTTCCGTTGCAAAAATGCAACAGTAAATGGGTCGTCGCACGCTTGTTGGATTAAGTTAAAATATTCCTTGCCGTATAAAATATATGCACGCTTTCGATGTGAAATAGCGTTTGCAATATGCGGCAAAATCTCATAAAAGATTTACACACAACGCGGCACGGGATAAAACTGAATTCCAATTATGATGGCGAGCATGAGTCATTCGCATATCGTGGGTCTCTTTTGAACAAAAAAAAATCACACAATCGTTTACGTTTACGCTTTGAC